AGATTAAATTTTTGGCATCAGTGTGCAGTGTTCCACAAGTTCATGATCCACAAATTACTGGCAGCTTGGAGATTCTTTGGGGCACATATGGCCACACGCTCCCTCGGTTTTACACTTTTCCTCCTGTCGGTAACAGCCAGAGCCAGTATACAAGTCTGAGCAAGTTGTTTGACACAGCCTTTCTATGCTTTTCTTGTGGGGCTTGGGGGTTTTTAAATGACATTAATTTGGTGTGCCTGTATTGAGAGTTCTGTCTAAATCAAGATCAGACTTGTTGGCAACTTATGCAAACATTTCTTTTCTTTTAGTCTTATCAGCAGACCAGCTCAAACCTGAGACAATACCCTGAGTGTCTGAGCAGAGAGAGCTGTTCTCTACCTGGACTTCTGACACATGTAACCATTATGCAGCTGGTAGGCTCCAGCTCAAGAAAACATGTAGGATAACCACTCCTCCCAGGACAGTGCTCTAGGGCATTTTTCACTTAAAAAATTAAGGAGTGTCCTGAAAGGAAGAAAGTTTCCATGAGTTGGGGCCAAATAAAAACAACCAGGTTTTGAAACAGAACAGCCAGGTCCAAACAGATGAGAGTGTTGATGATGGGTGTAGACGACGGGTGTTAAAATAGCCTTAGGACATTCGTCCAATATATTTAATTTCCAAGTAATTAAAGCAATATGCTGATACTCAAATTTGTGCAAAGCAGTATTACAAATGCTCATGAAATTTCCTCAAAACCTAGCAAGTTGGCAGAGGAGTCTCTTTTGAGGATTAGAATATGAAATCCTAGTCAAGCTCATATATGGAAAAGACTGGGTTTATTGTTTAATGTAGCTCTCCTAATTAATGAGGGAAAGGAGTGGCATTCCTAGTACTGGCTCAAGGTTTGTTGTCTACACATAAATGTTCTTTAGTTCTGAATAATAAAGGACTTCTAGTGCAAGTGGGCGGCTGGGCCCCTAATTCCACAGTTACACAATCCCTTTAAGGTAATGTAAATACAGACTGCTGCTGGAGGGGATAATCTACTCTTTTTAGCACCCTAGATATGTACTTCCAGCCAGCATGGCAACCAGACCAGGGAGCTGTTCTATATATAATTAAATGGGATCATATAAAAAGTGGAGATAGACTTGTCCTTTGTGCTGGCAACCCACACACCTTGACTTAGACTTAGAAAGGAATTACACATTTTAAAAGGAGGCTAATATGAAATAAAATCCAGTTTAGAACAGTCAGTTTTCCTATATAAAAATATTTGGTGTGAAATAAGTAGAATCTCACCAGAACACGCTAACAACTATATGTAGTGCAGACATAACACTACTGAAGTGGCTTCCCAAACGAAATGCCCTCTGAACACAAGCAGAAGGTAGACTGATGCACAAGCAAATAAGTTCATAGGTTGTTACCCATAAACTTCGGGAAGAGGGGCACAGGTACTGAACAGGTATCATTTTCTCATCTACATATTACTGAAACTGTTTCTAGAGGCCCACAAAAAACCACTGATAACATTACAGTGCTGGAAGAATGCTCCAAAGAGCCTGTTCATATATTAGTGATGATCAAAAAATTGCTTCCTTACAGAATTACTCTCAACCACAAGCTATTTAAGTCAAGAAAGGAAACTGCTTACCCTCCAAATCCAGCTGCTAACAGGGACTGTTTTCCTCCTTCATTGAGACCACTTGCATCTGAGATAGCCTTTACAGACACCATGAACAACCTGAATAAAAGAACATGATCTCCTCCAAAAACTGGGAAACTTAACAACAGGATGTTGTGATGAAAACACAAGCTGCTAGGAGCAGCTCTGACCCAAGCCTTTTGTGCTCAGTGGGTAAGAAAAGCAATGCTGGAAACTATGTATGAATAAAAGAGGTAGGAAGGTAACGCAGAGCTGACTGCAGATTTCTGCCTTTCTAAAATCACTGTCTGAAAATGATTACTATAAAATCAAGATTATCTTGGCAGGAAGTTTTTCAAAGAACTGTTGTATCCATGTAAAGTCACAGAAGACATCCGTATTGCAGTCATTAAAGCAACCTTACTGACTCTTTTGAGATTTATTCTGTTACCTTAATTTACGTGATCATCAAAATAATGCTGTACCTTCACCTTCTGAACCTGTGATTGGCACATTCATTACCCTGGACTCAGTTACTGTGGTTTTTTTATAGTAAAACTAGTTTGGTGCCAGAACTGCATAGACAGAAAATGCCACTGTGTTGATCGCCAGTGTGAAGAGTGATCCTGCAGAAACATGCAAATGAAACCTACTAAAAATGGAGCCTTGGAGGAAAAGGAAGTCTCTTTGAAAAGCCCATAGCCCAGGAATCTGACCACAGAACATTTTAAAAGAATCTTGAAATTTACCTTCTTCAGGATAAAAGAGCACAGCTTACTTATATTGATGCTGGGAGAAATCACTTTATGATACATCTTCATTTTACGTGAAAGACATATTAAAGTAATAAATATGGGATAACATTTTTAAGCAAGTATGGATTAATCAATCCCCATAGCTCTCTGCCACTGGTTCTGTTCATTCTACTTTAGAAATTAGAAACCTGATATAGGATTGAAAAAAATTACTTTGCAAAAGTCTTTTTCTCTTGCTGCTGATAACATTATCTCTCACATGCTTTGATCAATAGAGCATTTAGCTAAAGAAGGAGTTTAGAAGTCCTTTCCATACTATCAGAAATAGGAATAATATCACAATATAAAAATTAGCGGGTAGAGAACATGAATGACACCCAATGGAGGTGTCAGATATAAGCTGTCTCTGTGCCAATTTTTAGCATAATCCTGCCTGTAGCACTGAGATTTTGCTTTTGTGCCATATTCAGAAGCTCAATGCTTTATTCTTCCAATTGCATTAAACTGTAACAATGAGAGATATACAGATTTATTTTTTAATAGGATCCAGCCTGCCTAGCAGTCACTTAGCTGGGAACGACATTGCTTTAAGGTAGAGCTTCCTGACTTAGTTTGTACAGGCCCTGTCACCATGGCAGTATCAGCGGTGGCAGTAGCAGCTGCTGGCTGTGTGCAAGGCAGCACATGCACTGTAGATGTGATTCTACCCCTAGTAAGACCTCTGCTGGCCTTTGTACACAAGGTGGGTGAGGAAGTGGTATTTCAGGTAGTACCCATCTCCTGTGGAATTGTTTTGAAATTGCTTCTACCCCGTGCACCTTACCTGCAGAGTACCTGCTTCAGGATTGAAATCACACACAGATTTTTAATGCTTGCCATCCATAGCTTTCCAAGCAAAAGCCAGTGAAAGCACCATTGCATACTTAACGTCTGTTTTTCTGCAGATCAGGAAGAAGAGAGACACAGAAAAGTGAAGGCCAGTGTCTTCAAAAGCATGAGTGCCTAAGTCTCAGTGATATCAATCTGAGCCTGCAGTCTAACAAGCTATGGACATCTGTGCTCTTGTGACTTAAATGGAAATTCTCCCACTCAGTCTGAGCTCTGTCCTGCTTTGTGAAACCATACCTGTCCCTCCAGCACACAGTGACTGTTGTTCATACAAACAATGTATAGGAATGCATGACATACTTCTTTGAACTTTCACCACACTGAAAACATTTTTAATGTTCAGAAATGTTTCAATTTCCTAGAGGGAACCACTAGATGATTGTCAATGACAGAGTCTCATAAGGTTTTGAAAAGCAGACTTTATTTAATAGGCACATCATTGCTTTAATAGCACTGGGCTGCACAGCTCACTTCACCATTTGTAAATGGTTTTGTTTGATTACATTGCATTTCCTCAGTGTCAGTAGGATTCAAGTAAAAAAGTTACTGCTTTTACTTCTCTGTCATTTCTCAAGTTGGACAAAAAACAGTGAACAACTAGCACACAGGAGCAGAATACAGACAGAACTGCCTGTGATCCCAGAGAAGTCAAGACAAACTGAATTTTGAGCACTGAACAGTTAAAGCTGCAAGACAAGCACATGACATTTGCTCAGATGAGAGTTTGCATTATGCAGGATAGAGATGAATGTTGCCCACTAATACATATAATAATGCATTCTTATACTGAGGAACAAAGACTGTCCAACAAAGACAAGAAAGGTTTCAAAACAAAATAACTTACATGAAATTAGCTTCCTTATTGTTTCTGATTATAAAAGTTGCACTCCCTTTGCTGTAAAAGTTAAAGGCCTAAAAGTACTGCTTACAGAACTCTAAACAGGCAATTTAATCAGCTTTTTCCTCCTATATTACAACTCTTTCTGATAACAGAAAACCATCTTTAAGAGACAAAAGCGCAGCATGCTGGATTATTTTTGTAATTAAGTAGTTTACCTGGTTGTTATATTTATTCCCTGAAAAACTGCATTTTAATATTTTACTAAGTTCCACCAGTAGAAGCATACAAAATCAGAAATCATGAGAGGAAAATAATATTGCTCTATGAAAGAAAAAAGCATGACTTCTAACTTAGTATTATGAACATTGTAAAAGAAACGCACGTGGCATTGAAACATTTTGAAAATGGAGAAATATTTGGTGAGTTTCGATGTTCTCATGTTTTATATTCTATTTTCTGATTGGATATTTTCAAAGTTATTATTTTAGGATTTATTTTAAAATATATTTTCTAGCATTGTATAGGACAGACAACCTAAAAGCAACGAGGCAGATATCTAGCGTGCTGCACACTCGAATATACACCATTTACTTTAGTTACTAGCGCTTTACACTGACAGTACCTACTGCATTTGTAAAACTTATTTTTAAATCAGCTTGTCAAAGCTTTTGAGAAGCAATCTGGGCAATAAGGTGGGTATTTTTAGTGTCTACCATGAATACGGCCAGTTAAAGACTCAGAGGTCGCTCTCTCCATACAGTGCTGATGAGAAGGAGGTGTAATCCAGAGCCCCAGGAACAGAACCTGGGCCGGTGTACGGAGGCATTCTCTTGATGCAGTACTGAGCCTGCTCAGGAGGCAGCTCGCGGCGCAACTCATCTGCCAGGATGTAAGGCTGGGAGGGGGAAAAGGATTGACAGGTTCAGTATGCATTCTCTATTTCTGTAGCTGTGACTAATAAATTCAGACATCCTGCCTATTTTCCTGAGACCAAGTATTTTCCTTGGTGAATTCCATCCCTCATTATGAATTGAATGGGACAATTCCAGCAACACACTGATTAGGTCGAAATGCAGTCTCAGGATATGTGACTGTGTACATTAGCTACCAAACACTGTGCAGCACTGTGCAAAGGTAGACTGCTATTGATACAGCTCAGCCCTGGATACTCAGTACCTCTGAAGTGCACCACTGCCTCTTCTGCAGTGACAGGACAGACACAGGTGGTTCCTGTTCATTTCAAGGTCCTAATATATGTGTAATGAAAGATGCATTATTGTTCTTAATGGTTTGCATTTATGATGTGAGGGGTGACCTTTGTTAACAGACTTGGCATTGCGTAAAATAGCAATGTAATGAAAACCATTTTCTCCTGAGACCATCTTCCACATGAATTGCTCCTGAGAACATGTCTGGAATTCAAAATGTGGTCCACATTAAGTGAGATCACAAAATCAATACAAACAGCCAGAATGAGAAAATCAATAGAGCAACTTTGAGCAAATAGACCTGTACTTCTGTGATCTACCCTTTCTCCACAGCACAGGATTGGTTTCCTGTTCACACTGTTTATGGCCTGACTCCTCCAGAAGCTCTTGTGTTGCCATTATACTCTCCTTCATCATCATACACAACTCACTCACCAGTTTATCTGGAAGCTGGGAGGAAAATATGCCAAATTCAGGAGCTTTCTCCACAAACCCAGTAACTAGAGGAGGCCCCTTGCTAGGACAGGGGTACAAGCACATTGCATCACCCTGTTGAATGAGCTGTCCAGTCACAACATGGCTCACAATTAGGTGTCATCTTTAGGCAACTGACTCAAGCTATGTCCCAGAGGGTCAAACTCTACATTGAAACATTGGGACAACAGCATGAAAGGCAGAACAAGTTCCCCTGTAATCAAGGCTGTTGTGCGGAAATAACCTGACGTACAATATATCCATCATACAGACCAACTGTTGAAGTCTTGTCTAAGATGTCTAATTTTATGTTGGCTCTCTGTGATATGAGGGTATATGAAATAAACCTTGAATTCTTCACCCATTTCAGCTAGGAGTCTTGGTTCCAAACAGAAGAGGCAAGTGCTTTCTCTGAAGTCTTAAAAACTGAAAACAGATCTTCACTATTACTAAAAGGCTTGTATAAGAAGGGCTAAATGGGAGAGCTATTGAATCCTTACAGCCAGCAGCATGATGACTGACCTTATCTGAAGCCAGGATTCTGAAGGAAGCTATCACTTGCTCAGCCGTGTCTGTGTCTGCTGTTTCTCTGGTCATGAAGTCAATGAAGGACTGGAAAGTGACGGTTCCTTGCCCATTGGGGTCAACCAGAGACATGATTCGGGCAAACTCAGCTTCACCCTTTCACAGAATCCAAAATAAAAAAATGGTCACCGTAATATCAATCTCCAACAGCCTGAGCCTCTCATGAACCAGTCAGACCACTGGTTACAGAGCCTTTAAAGCGTCTTTCTGACTTAGGGACATCAACCTCAGAGCCGATGAAATCTGGGATCTTAAATGCCCACCCCTCTTTTGCACAAAGGACTGTGCTTCTGAAAAATCTATCCTTTGCCCTAAATATGTATGTACCTTATAATTAGCCTTCTCCAGCTTCTCCCCCTTCCACCCACCCTCAGTGCCTATTCAACTTGTTTTAACTTAACACTTCATTTTCCACCCCATCCTAAAACCATTGTAATTTAGGTACCACATAGGGAGGTGAAACAATAGCCCAAGAAACAGTCTATTTGCAGACCCACTGGACTAAGAAGGGAAACAATTCTGAAAATTTCATGCCAAATACAAGACAGTTCAATTAAGGTTAATAACTTTTTTCCTTTGAAAAGGGTGAATTGGAGGGGGGGGGAGATTTTTAAAGTAATTGAAGGAAAGAAAATGCAAGCCCTGAAAGACAGTTTATGAGAATTAACCAGTAGCAAACACATTCTTTCTCATGCAGATAGAAAAGGTGAAATTAAAAAAAAATAATTAATTTAATAACTGCTAATCTTAACTTTTAAAGTTTCATTAATTCAAAGAGCAATGCAGTGGACCATAAATAAGGATTTCACATGTCTAGTTTTAGTTTTAACTTCCTTTTTAAGCATTTGAAAATAGAGAAAAAGCAAAGAAATAAGAAGCTAGTATCTACTGTAAATTATATTATTAGTATCCTCTCAATTTAAATAAGCTATAGTGTTGCTGTGGTTAATGTTATAGGTTGTAAGCAGAATCAGCTGACATTATTTCTTAAAACTCATACCAAATCATAACCCATTGAAATTAAGCAAGCTCTGAAATCATCATGGTCCATCAATCCATTCTTCCTCTATTGACCAAAACAACGTAAGGAATATAGAAGGGGAGGTTTGAAGATTCCAAGGTCATTTCCAGAGAGATGACAAGTTTAGACCATTGGCATATTGGATCCGGTGCATGAACAGTATTCATTGATGGTGCCCAATCAGGTGACCAGAATCATCATCAGTTTTAAAGAAGGAAGAAGTAACTAACATATTACACACAAGAAACAAACATTTTCAGCACAAAAATCAACATCAGGAAAGGTCAGGGAAGAGATAAGGGAGAAGAGGAGATGATTGAGACAAGAATACAGAGGACACAACCAGAGAAGACAAAGAGAAAGGCAAGGAGACAAGTTTGTTACTAAACTAGTCGAACTCAGGATATGCTCAAGCTGCCTCCCTGATATGAAATGTCTTTGAAAGGATTTGCATGGAACCTGTAGTGGCTAAAAGTATAGTTAAAAACAGACAAATACTTCACTCCAAGGCCGAAGTAAGGTACACTATGAGAGGTGTCTGCTGACATATGGGAAATAAGTACAAGGATTTTCCTTCTGACTGCAGGCTGTCAAGACCTGGACTACAGCAAAGATGTGCATACTGTCTTAAAGGATGAGACTTGCAAGATTTATAAGGAGGTCAGTTGAAGATCTTTTAAATAGTGAGGTTGCTCATTTTCCAGGCAATAACAGATCTGTGACATTCCAGTCTCAAAACTGAGTAAACATTAAAAGTCATGATAGAATGTAAATAAACGTTTCCTCTGTGCTGTGATATAATGCAATGGTTTGGAGATAATTGTGTCATCCTAAATCAGGCGAGCTGTGATATAATGCAATGGTTTGGAGAGAATTGTGTCATCCTAAATCAGGTGCGAGCAGAAGAGAATTTGTACTGAGTCTGAGGAAAGGAAAATTAGCAAAAATCTGAGTGAAGGAGCATAGAACTCTCCTAGGTATCTAGTAGTGTCCAAATAAAACATCTCAAACCAAGTAAAAGAAACAATCTGAAAAATCTTTGAAAAATGCTTAGAAAAATATGGCTCAAAGTGATGCTGACAATCCATCTAAATCAGTTGTCTTCTCACAGGCAGGATCTTTTCAAAGCATTATGACCAATAGACTGGAGTTTAAACACCCAATCTCTTTGGCTATTATTATATTGGCCCATCTGAAAACAGAACAATACCAGTTTCCTCTACCTGCAAGTCATTTCCAACCTGACCTAGACTGATGAGGCAGGCTTTAAATTCATCAGACTGCAGATTGTCAGATTCGTCCTAGCATCCCATCACAGGCCATGCATTTGGGAAGGTGAAAGGAAAGAAAGAAAAATCACAGAACAGGTTAGTTGGTTAGTAAACATTCTACTGTTGTATTAATAATCATATTTTTACAAAATTTCATGGAAATGTAATGTCAACATGTTGAAATGAATTGGCAAAAAAAAAAAAAAAAGGAGAGTTTTTGCAGTTTCATGCTGTAGTTATTTTTTTCTTAGTGGAAGAATGTCCTTACTTCAACTACAGAGTTAAATCTGCTTCCTCCATAGGTTTTTTTTTGAAACATTTTAGCTGAGAAGGCAGTTTTCATTCTATTGAACTGCCATTTGCTTCTTCATTTTCTATTGTCATGCAGCATATGTGAGGTGAAGTAAAAAGATCACTGAACCTGGGCAAAATGTATTTTCCCCACTCGGTTACTTCACTCTTGATCTGATAACATTACTTAACATAATATGCATATCTCAAAAGAGGGAAGTATAAAATAAGTGTATATCTGACAACTTCTTTTCAGTTGTCTTTTTTAATAATCTGTACAATCAGGTTTTGCTTTGAAAATTGACTTTAAGGTTAAATGCCTCTAAGTAACATCACATCAAACTGGCACATTGTTTTGAACCAATATTCTTTTTCTATTTGGCAGGTTAAGAAATTCCCACTAACTTCTTAAAAATAGAGTGGTGTGTCCTTTTCTTCCTATTCATACAAACTGTGTCTTATCAGAGGGGTATTTCAGATTGAGTTAACCTGAGTACAATTAAAGAGATGTTCTAGGATGAAAAATTATTACCCTTATTGATTTTACAGACAGTTTGAAGATCCAAGTTTTGCTGTCTGCTACATATTTGCCTGCTAGATGAATAATTTAGTTTTGAAAATTTCTATATAGCTATGCATAAGTAAAATTATAGGAGTTTTAACAAATGCACTGGGCTTATTTAATATACTAAGAGGATGAAGTGGCACTTTAGGAAGTTAATAACACCATGCATTTTTGAAATATCATGCTGTTATTACTCCCTCTGCATCAACATCCACCAGCTCCATAAAGGGAAGATGAAAAATAACAGTAGGAAGTCAATGAAGAGAAAAAAACCAAAGCTACAAATCTGGACTAGAATACAGTTAAAAGCCATAATCACAGTAAAGTTTTTATCCCTTAATATTTCCATTTTATAGGACAATTCCTGCTATAAAGCATTCCAAATGGCTTATTTTATCATTCTGAAAATGTTAGTCTAGGCTGGCTTGAAACTCTCAAGAACTATCCTGGAGACAGGTTATGGCAGGTCACACCGGGGGTGAAGTCAATTCATTTCACCTTATTTCCAAAGCCAAATATACTACTCTGTGACTGCAAATAAAATGATATAAAAATGGGAGCTAAGAGCCAAATCCTCTCCCAGAATCTCCTCTAGCAGGTGTTGGGAGAGGACTCTTAGCTACCAGGGGTGAGTGGTCAGTGTGTGCATGAGCTCCCTAACCAGGCACATACAGCAGAAGTAGTGAAGGGCAGACTGGAGTGGAAGGGCAGCACATCTACCCAGAAACCATTTTCTTTAAGAGAGGACTGCAGGGGTTGTGCTGCTCACAACCATCATCTGATTAAGTGGGGCTCTCTAGGGAGGGTCCAAGTAGCTGTGCCAAGTGCTTCTGCAGGTTCTCACATTCTTGTAGTGAATTTTTCTAATCTCGAATATATGGGGCCTAAAAAGGCATCTTTGCCTTTGCACTATATCAGAGTTTCATGGGATTCAATGGTATTTTTGCAATTAATGCATAGATCAAGCCCAGGCAAAGGCTTTCTCATTTGGAAATGGTTCTTGGTATTTACTGTTTGCAGACCAACATTAGGCACTGAAATTAATTTTTAAATCAAATAAACAGCTTTGCCTTGTTCACCTTTTCCTGCCAAAGTAAAACAGTGAATTCCCCCTCCATGTTTCATTATTAGTCCCCAGAAATCTTTTTCCTCCTCTTTGTGATTTATATGTGGCCTTATAAAACAAGTGAACCTCTGAGTCAAACTAATCCATTCCTTAATATGCCTTTCAGTTTCCTGAATGCTAATTGACCTGCATAAGCCTGAACATGTGGTTCCTTTAATAGAGAGCTGTTGTTTTTCTGTTAGTAAAATATAGGGTGGCATGATGTTATTGTTCTGCATGCAGAGCTCCTACTTGAAATCTGTAGTTTGCACAAAAATTAATAGTAGAATATGTTAGCAGCCATTAGGATATTACATGCAGAGCAGCTGCAGCTATTTTATCACATACTTCACGGTCTTATTTAGAGTTTACTAAATATACTGAATCTGAAAAAGGAATCCCTGCATAAAAAGACATCAAAACCAGTGACTGACAATGTTATCTGTGTGGTGTCCCAACTTTGCTGCATACCATTATTCAGCTATGCACCACTTTGAACACTTCTAAACTGTTTCAGTGATTCAGACATTGTGTCCCACTTTCTCTTTTTTTTTCTCTATGCAATCATATTAAGGAAGGAAACATAGCATAGCCTTTTAGCATTGCTAAAGATTTATATTTATACCTACAACTGAATGTGCCTTCTGGCACAGCCCCCAGCAAGGAGTAGTGGGTAAGCAGCAGCATCCTCAGGAACAACCTCTGAGGTACCAGTGTGCATACATGTCTGTTGGGAACACAAGAGCCTAGAGGGCTGCCCCCTTGACCCAAGGATAAGGGCATATTTGCCATTTGCCTTTTCAAGGATGTCTTGTAAAGCTTTCTGTGTCAGCACATCTCTGCTGGTGGATGCACTGAGAGAAACACAACTCTTCCTACCCCTGTGATTCTTACATGCATGGTGCACACTTAGTCACAGCAGTGTGAGAATTAGGGGCGTGTAGTGCCCCCCCCCCGAAAGTTGTTAAATGCTGAATAGTTTTCTTTCCAATATTTGATATGTAGAAGCCATTTAAAACTTATTCACCAATTACTTAGCTCTCTTTCAAAGGATTAACAACTGCAGAATTAAGGCATGTAATGGATTATGAGCTGTAAGATTTTAATTTTTTTATATCTCCTTCCTGGGGAGGAAGATAGGGGTTCCTTCCTGAGATTTATGAGCAAAGGAAGTTGTTTCTAGAGGCACTCTATAAAAAGTTATTAGACTTATGTATACCAAAATACATTCTTTAAAATGGGGACGGGAGCTACTCTGCATATTAGTACTTTGCTGACATCCTCAACACACACTGAGAGTCAGACATTAAGATATGTCTTAAATTGGAGAAGTGCCACAGAAGTCAGAGCTACAGCATGCAGAAATGATTCTGTTGTGCTTAGGTATTTAAAGCCTCCTTGTCAGTGACAGTATTAATTTTTGGGATCCTTTCTGACTATTCATCATTGCAAATAGCAGTCTAATTCTTTCAGTGTATTTTTAAAACTATGACAGGCATTCAGAAATGCTGCTAAGTGCAGCAAAATTTGTACATATACTGCTAATTCTGTCTGACATGGAGAAGTCAGTATTTTTCATGTTAGTGCTTACACTCAGATAATCCAGTTTCATCTTCATTTCTTTTTAAGGAAATCAAGACCATAAAAGAATCCATTACTGCCTTCTCTACCTAAATTCCAAGTTTAGAGCCCTCATTATTTTGTGTACACTGAAGTAAGTTCAAAGCACCCTGGGTTTCCTTTATTCACCAACATTACATATGTGTGTGTACAAAGACATAGGAAAGACAAAAATGAAAATAAAGTCTGCCTTTCTCAAATGTGTTTGTTCAATGTCTCCTTCTAGCCTGTGTAGATTGAGTTGTATCTGCCCATTAGGTAACAGTGTAATTTAATCTGCATAAGCTTCTCTTTTATCAGTTTCTACTATCTGTTCCCTGCAGAAAGCCTGGCTTGATTGCTCAGTGGCTGTAGATCTTAGCTTCTTCTTTTCTTTAACTTGCATTATGCTACTAAGAACATAATTGTCAGTGCAAAAGTCCTCCTAGATCAATTTCCTTTGGCTTATGCTGAGGAAAGGAGCACACTAACAGGAGCATTTGCAAAATGGACATCCCCTTATGTGATCCTTCCAGACCTCTTTTTAAGGCAGTTAGATTACATCTGTCATGGGGGAAGGTATGGTCTGCAGCTAAACTTTCAGTCTGGGCCCAGGTTGTTGAGGCCATAGAAAAAGAGGATATGATAGATCAATCTTCTGTTTGCTTATGCTTCTGACCTGGCCACTCAGGCTTCCTGAAACAGAAGCCAGAGCAGAAGGGGCACAGGCAGAAGCCATGACTCATTGTAGCCTGAAGGAAGGAGTCAAGGATAGCTAAGAGTACAGGAGCTGGGAAGCAATTTTGTGTGCACATTATAGTCATAGCCCATCTCCAGTGTGCTGGCAGCTGTGTGACAGGAGCACCCTCTTCCAGGTCATACAGCCTTTCCTAAGGTATGTGGTATCCTTTGATATCTCAGAGTCTTATTGGATCTGCAAAGCCTAAATATTCATAACAGTAGGGATGACTGGTGTAGAATTTGGCTTCTCCCTTCAAGACATTCTGAAGCACCAACAGATGACCATAATATCTCCTCAGACACTGAATAGCCTTGCTGTGAGCATGGCAGAGAACTCAGCTATGAGCCACAAAGGTACAGGGATGCTAGAAATGGCCATATGGGGTAAGATATACTAGGATTCAGTCATCTTGATTCTTATCTTTAGAGAGCTATCAAACTTCTGTGCAAAGTCCCTGGTTTCCCTTAATGGTGTCTTTCAAATACTGACATGTAGTTTATCCAGGCCTGGTACTGTGTCTGCTTTTAATAGCTCTAATTGCTCAGTTATCTGCTCCAGTGCATTGGGAAAGCCATTTAGCATGCTACTTCCTTCCACCCCAGGAAATTTATCTCTGCTTCTCTGGTGTTATCTTCTGCTTCTCTAGAAAATACAGAAAAGAATCATGGTGCACTAGAATCACATTAAGATTTTTCCATGAAATCTGTTCCTGGTTCCTGTGTAGCTAAACTTTCCTATGCTATGTTTCTTCAGAAAGCAGAAGTTTGGCAATTCTGGGTTTTTTTCTAAACAGTTAAGGGTATTCTAAAGGATATTTATCAAACTATGACTGTCAGCATCCAACGCATATCAAGTGCAAGTGCAGGGATGGATAATCAGTTTGAGTAGACCTGGACAAACAGGATGTCAGTGAAAAGAAAGTGGCATTTTGCTATAGCCTGAAATGATCTGAAGGAGCTGACTCGCAATAGCAGATTATAAATCAAAAGTTAAGCACAGAATGCTAACTGCAGCAATCTGTACTGTAAAAAGGCAACAGCCTGGTGCTGCATTTTTTCAGTACTTGAACTGTGAACTTGGTTTTGGAGATGGGTTCATGTGAGCACAGAGCCAGCAGAGCCAACTCATGTACAGATTGTTTTCCAACTGGGAATGTCAGATCTCTGTCTGCACGTATTTTGTTATTGTGTCTATTAATAGTTATCTTTTTGACACTCTGTCCATAAATACTGCATAACTCACAGAAGTGAGCTAAGTTTCTTTACAGTAGTGTTTTCCTTCCTACTATTACTTCTTGTTTAGATAACTGAAAAAATTAACAGCCTCTTATTTCCCACATACAGCCACAAAAATAAGGGATATTCTTGGAGAGCTATCAGTGCCCCAATTATATTCCCTACAAATATATTTCTAGGTAGACAAGTTGTGATTTAAAGGAAAAAAACCTGTAATCCAGATTACAGCTAAATTTAATTAGATGGAAGCTGCAGCAAGTGCATAGAACATGCTGTACTGTCTTAAAATAAAGGGGCACATTATTTTCCAAAACACACAGATTTATCCAGCTCTGCCTGTCACTTGAACAAATACTCAACCATATTAGCAGAACTATAATTCTGCATTACTTTCAAGAGTAAAAACTAATCTTTAATTTATCTGTACAATGCTATTAGATTGGGTGGCATCACTGCCCTTGGAGAGGGGCGTGGAATTACATGATCTTTAAGGTCCCTTCCAACCCAATCCATTCTATGACTTTATAACACTGTAAATTCTTTCTTAACTCATCTTTTTTTGCTGTTTTAAAAAGTGCCCATTGCTACTGCATTTGCAGTACTTTAAAAGCCTTACATTTGGAATGAAAAGAAACTAGCTTTTGAGAACAATAAATATTGCTAGTGGAGAGAAAGCATGAGTACTGTACCCTGTCAAAGTGATTGAATGATGCTCTGAAGTCATTCATTTGTTCCTGGGTGATACCCTTAGCATCTCTTGTGAGGATCTGAGTCTCAACCTCATTGATAGTTCGAGCAATGGTGGTAAGTAGGAGCTCCCATCCAACACGGATGTGCTACGAGAGATAAAATACTGATTTATTAAAGAATCAAATATATTGTTCTAAGAGTATAAAAAGCATATTAAGAAAAAAATCAAAATATTTATGGAACAATTTTTCCATGCCAGAAACTGTATTATGACTGAGGATCATTAAAAATAAAAATGGCCTTCAGAAAAATATGGAACTGTTTTCTAAATGGGTAATTCCTCATTAAAAGTGAAAATAAATGAACATAAAACAAGTTTTATGAGATTATCAGAAACTCTGCCAAATTCCATCCTTTGTGGCAGTCTCTTCAGATCAGGGAAGAAGTTACATGGCAGAAGAGGGCAGAATAAGCTAACAAGTACAAAAGGGAGTAAATGGCTACCTCCATAGTATAGTTGGTGTGCTTGTTGTCAAACACCAGGGCTTCTTGTATAAGCTGATGATCTCCTTCCAATTTGTCAATGTTGTGTTTATAGTTAATGATATTGTGCTCATATTGCTTCAGCTGATTCATCTGGTCCTCCAAAGGCCCTGTCATTTCAATAGAACTGCGGGCAATTTCCTGCCAAAAGAAACAATGTCATCCCCCAGTCCTCAAAATTCAAGCTTCAGATTTGCTAATTTGACCAACATTTACTTAAATATGTTTTAATTTCATACTAAGAAGCAATAGTAATAAAACCTTCATACAGTGGAAATAAGAAATTTTACTGTAGAAAACACATTTCAAAAGAAATGTGGCACATTTGTATCTGGAATTAGTATCGAGACCCCAGTGATCCTGGTATCTTCTCTACAAAAAGCAGAAGCTAAACAGTAATTGTCTAGTGATTGATTTTACAAAGCTGAACCTCCTGCTCACCATCAAGGTACCACTTGTATAAGCTCCCACAGTTTTAAAAATCATCTTAACAGCTGCTAAATAGTTCAGGATCAAACAGCTGGTGAATTATCATGGACTTTGCTGTTTCCCTGTATATAAAGTAGAGATAAAAAATTATAAACCATTTCATTTGTCAGTTCTGCATGAAGGTCTGACACTCACCTCCATCTTGGTCTGGATCCATGGCCCAATGACATTGGCCTGAGCAGCAAACTGGCGACGCAGGCGCTCGTTGGCATGCTGGCGGGCTAACTCCTCTTGCAAGGATTGATCCCTCTGAGGCACCAGCTGCTTCACCTGTTACAGTGGGAAAACACTAAGTGTAAGTAGGCACAACTGAATAGTTTAAAAACAAATGGATCAAGTAAGTCTACAGTTATTATTTTTTGTTATTGGTCTGAAGGTTGATAACAGATGTACAAGCCAGAAACATGATCACTATTCTATTTACAAACTCTGTGCTAGCCTAAGAAATTGGTAACATGGTCTTGGGCAGCCTGACCAGAGACACTGACAGGGAGAGAGAAGAAATTCTCACCTGTGGCTAGATTTGACTTTGAGACAATTATTTAACTTGAACTGTTGTTAAAGCAGTTACTGCTTTTTGTCTGAAGCACAGGTGATTTTTCAATCTCTAAGTAACTGTTCTAAGAACAGTTGGCACAAAACATTTTATTTGAGCACAGCCATTACAACAGGATAACATGAGACATGTTCTGTTCATCATGAATATTTGAAGGTCTCTGATACATTGTGAATGCTTTTGTTTGGCTTACCCTTCTGAATTGCCCAGGGAGATTCTGACTGTAGTCCTTCTTGGTTTTTATGACCCATTGAGGGTGCATTCTTGTTCATCTAAGTTTATGTAATTCTACATTCATTTACTTTCAGCATATTACTTGTCTTGGTCCCTAATGAAAGTTTGTGTGATTGCTCTAGGAGCCCCTCTGTAATTCCTCCCCAGTAGTTTTCAATTGCCAATGCCAATTTCAGTCTAATAGGACAGAAAAGCTAGCTCTGAACTAGCCCCAACACATGCTTCTCTTGCCCTGCCAAAAAGCCAAAGAGGACATAGGTAATATTGAATGATAGGAGCAAGGGGTATTGTGAAACAAGCCTGGCAAACATAAGGGAGAGCATAAGGTACTGTAGAAAGTGAATAAGTGAATTCTGGCATTTGATAATCTAGAATAATTTACTGATTTATTGTAAAGTTCTCTAAATATTCTTAGTATTCCTAAACTAGAATACTATGTTCAATGTGCTTTATGTATTTAGCATACATTACCTTTTCCCACTTGCTACGAATCTCTTCCACAGTAACAGTGCTGTAAGGATTGGTAGCACTTATTCTCATGCTGTAACTCTGGATAACTTTTTCAACTTCATTCTGGATCGACAGTATGGCCTGTCTTTCACCATCTGCCTCTGGCAAAGTAGCTTTAAATTGATCATGTGCAGAGATTAAACTCTAAAATCAGAAACAGAGAGGGAAATCATGAAAACTTGCAAGTTTCTTCCATTATCTGGAAGATCTACCATAAGTAAGCACAGCTCCTCTCTCAGCCTCTCAAACACTCTGTCTGCACGTATCTGTAGATACAGGAAATAAAACATTTAGATATCTTCATGGTATGGCTCTCATTGACTTTATGAGGACCATCACCTCTTCCATGATCTCTGGAATATGCTTTCATACCACTGAAGAACCCCATTTACAACAGAGCAGATATGGTGTATCGCAAAGGAAACATCAAGACAGATATGCAGGTTTTTTCTTACCTGTGTTGTCTCCTGGAAGGAAAATCTTCCTTTCTTGATTTCCCTATGACTTTAAACCACAAAATAGACAACTATTTACCTGAATTTCCTCTATGCTGTGAACAATAAACATGTCCTGTAGGTCCTCCATAGCACCTTCCATCCAGTTGTTGAAAGGAGCAGCTCGTTTGGCAAACTCCAGGTGAAGCTGATCAATTGTTTCAAGCAATTTCTCCGTCCTCTGTATAGGTTGGGAAAGGTACATTCCCCTGTTACTAGGGCAAGATCTAGCTCTGTACACATACCCACCCATGCACAAAGCCATGCCTCATCTTTTCAAAAGCTATTAATTCACCAACAGGTTAAAAGGGGTGGATGTATACCTTCAAAGCATAACAAGTGAAATTACTTTCTCACTCTTGATATTTTAAGTATTTTTGTTATTGGAATCTATCTGCAAATGGATTTAAACTGGCTAATATTGATATCTTGTAAGTATGAAAAGGAAGTTAGACATGTTTTCCACCTTGGCATACATGTGTGTGACTTCCTCTTTTCTTAAGGAACAAGGTTTTGGAAAGTATCTCAGTGCTTTGGAATACTCGTTACCAAAAAATTAACATACTGCTCAACAGACAAGTGTGGAAGACTGCAAATTCAGATAAGTATGAAAAGCTAAGTAACCAATGGCTTTTGTTAGCCGTGCTGGAGATCAGATTCCCACAGAGTGGTGCTACAAACCACATGACATTTGTTGCTCCTTTAGAACTGTCCCTGGCAGCTGAGTACTGTCAAGTCTGCTCTGAGCAATCCAATGTGTTTGCAAATGAACCCACACCAAAATGAAATGGTGATGTGAGGACAGGATTTATTGCTGTTTGGATTCCTGCTCAATGGCACCATTTCCAGGTCTGAAATAAATGGTTCATTCCCCTCTCCTTGTCTCAGCTGAGCTGCTGATTGTTGTTATAAGGTTTACCTCCAATGCCTCTCTCCTTTTCTGAGTAAGTGTTCCCAGGCTGTCCCATTGGTCACATATCTTTTGGCATCTATCATTGACACTTGCAGCATCATGGTAGTCCAGTTCACTAAGAAAGAGTGAAGACAAAAGTCTGTGTGACTTTCTGAAAGACAGGAGCAGTTGCACTGTCCATAGTAATGCCCTCAGTAATTCCTCCCCTCTTTTTTGCAATATTTCTCCTCAAAGTAAGCAAGTGTTACAGTATAGGCATGTGTGATCTAGGCATCAGCATTTCAAGAAGCACAGCACAGGAACAGGATCAGTGTCCTCTGTTGTGAGAAAAATCAAGTATCTATCTGACACATCCAGGTATTAAAGACAATTAAAGTGTCCAAGTGTCTTTGTCTTGGCTATTCCTGTGGCACAAGCAATTTGTCCTCCTGAAGACCAGAATGCCTAGGTCTGGGTCTTTATCAAGTTTCTGAAGATTGGTAGAGTTTTAAATTAATATTGTTTTAAATAATCCAATGATCCTTTCTAGCCTTATATGCTCTGAAATTATTTTACTGAGAAACATACCTCAGATTGCATTCAAAGCATAATCTCTCTCACAGGCCTGACAAGACTAAAATGGGCTGCCCAGATCTGGGGCATAGAGAACAATTTTCATCTTCCTTTCCAGAAACTCCTCACAGATCTACACCCCAGAATTGGCTGGTTCAGAGAACAGGGATCTCCAGACCCACATATGCCACCAGCATGAATCAGTGCACCCACAAAGGATGCGTAAGTGGGTTTTCACCTGCTTGATAGGCTTATATGATCCTGAAAGAAAGCAATTTACTATTCCGCCTGAGATTAGAATAACTTTTTAAGGCTCTGTCCTGAAACCCTGCACTGAGTCTGCTTCAAAGTGAATTTTTGATCTCTGTGGCAGATGATACCCATCCATAAAACACTACATGTGTTTGACACTTTGGAAGTACACTTTTATTGGTGTATCACCGTCCACTGAATTTAGCTCTTGGCTGCTCCTTGAGGACACTTTGCCCAGTACTAAACATTGTGATGATGTGACACATGGCAATATGAAGCTAAGATTTACTTTGAGGCTTGAACAAGACAGTGAATGCAGGTAAAATTTGTTCCCTTTTTTTCAGTATTCTTCTCTAGGCAATTGGCAAGAGGAATGTACAGATCAGTCTGCCAGTAACACAGAGAATCACAGAAGACAAAATGAGAACAGAGGCAGCTTGCCTCTGTGAAGCCACAGGCCAGAAGCTAGAAGCTCTGTAGGACAGGAGCAGTGTTCTTGCTTCCTCTTCTAAACCCAGTCAGAGCAATCTGGTTTGGGATAAAGCTGAGAAGTATGTGAAGCATTCTGTTTAAAAGAGGCTTCAGATATGCTGCAATCAATTGACTATTGAAAATGAAGAATGATAAAACAGGTAAAAATAAAATGCCATAACAGAATGGGTCAGGTTGGAAGGGACCACAGTGGGTCATCTGGTCCAACCTCCCTGCTCAAGCAGGGCCATCCTAGACCACATGGCACAGGATTGCAAACAGATGGTTCTTGAGTATCTCCAGTGAGGGAGAATCCACAACCTCTCCAGGCAACTTGTTCCAGTGCTCCGTCACCTGCACAGTAAAGAAGCTCATCCTCATATTCAGATGGAACTACCTGTGCATCAGTTCCTGCCTGTTGTCTCTTGTCTTGCCATTGACACCACTGAGAAATGCCTGACTCCATCATATTGACACTCTCCCTTCAGATACTTATTGATGAGGCTCACTCTCAGTCATTTTTCTTGAGGCTGAACAGGACCATCTCCATCAGCCTAAGATTGATGCTCCAGCCCCTTAATCATCTCTGTTTCCCTCTGCTGGACCTGCTCCAGAAGCTCCATGTCCCTCTTGTATTGAGGAGCCTAGAACTGGATACAACACTCCAGCTACAGCCTCTCTAGGGCTGAGTAAAGAGGCAGCATCAGCTCCCTCAACCTGCTGGTAATGCTCTTCCATTGGTCTTCTTGGGCACAAGGGCACACTGCTGACTCAAGGACAGCTTGTTGTCCACCAGGATCCCCAGGTCCTTCTCTGCAGAGCTCCTTTCCAGCAGGTCATCCCCCAGCCTGTACTAGTCCTTGGGGTTACTCTTTTCCAGGTGCAGGACTCTGCATGTGCCTTTGTTGACTTTTAGAAGACTCCTTTCTGCTCATCAGGCATGTCTGCCTGTCAAGGCCCTTCTGAAGGGCTGCACAGCACTCTGGGATATCAGCCACTCCTCCCAGCTTTGTGTCATCAGCAAACTTGCACTCCACCCCTTCATCCAAGTCACTGATGAATAAAGTAAACAATACTGGGCCCAGTATTGAACCCTGGGGGACATCACTAGTGACAGGCATTCAAATGGACCCTGTGCCACTGATTACAACCTTCTGGCATCTGCCATTAAGCCAGTTCTCAATCCACCTCACTGTCCACTCATCCAGTTCACACCTCCTGAGTTTGCTTATGAGGATATTGTGAGAGGCAGTGTCAAAGGCCTTGCGGCAGTTGACGAAGACAATATCTACTGCTCTCCCTTCATCCATCCAGGTAGTTGTCCCATCATAGAAGGCAATCAGGTTGGTCAAGCATGATTTACCTTTAGTGAATCCATGCTGACTACTCCTGATCACCTTGTCTTCCATGTGGATGGAGATGGCCACCAGAATGAGGTGCTCCATCACCTTTCCTTCTTGCTCTTTTTGAAGACTGGGGTGGCATTTGCTTTCTTAGGGTCCTCTGACACCTCTCCTGATTGCCATGACCTTTCAAAGATGATCATGAGCAGCCCCCACTATGCTTTCCACCAGCACCCTCAGCGCTCATGGTGGCATCCTGTCAGGGCCCGTGGACTGGTGGATGTGAAGTTTGCCCAGCTGTTCTCTAACCCAATCCTCCTAAAAGTCTTAAAAAACCCAAAACCAACTCAAAATGGTGAAAGTAAATTGTTATATGTAAGGGGAAAGCTGCCAGCAAGTCATGCTATACAATGACTCCTTTAACTGGGAAACTCGCTTCCTCCTTTGGAGCAAGCCTTGTCATTAGTCTTCAAGGGAAAAACAAAAGCCATCTATCTGTTAAGAAATCTTAAGTCAGGAGCATGGAGTTTTGGATAAAAAAGGCTGAGATTTATTTTGCTGCTATGAATTTTTGGCTGAAAGTTGGCATTTTTTCATTATAGCTAATTGAGATTATTAGATGATGTTCCTGAGTGAGCAAATTTTGGTTTTGCTTCAGTGGATCACTTATCTCCTTTTACCAATTATTTTAAGGGCAGGTGCCCTTCCATGAAAGTGTGGGAGTGATTGTACTAGCTCTGGCCAAAGTCCTGGAAGGTAATGTGCCATGTTTCTCCACCAGCTCTGCCAGGGAGGTTCAATCATTCCCCATAAGATCTCTGTTATCCTATTTCTTTCAGGGTTATGGTCTGCAAAATATGTAGGATAATAATATTATCTTAACAACTTTTAAAAAGTGCACCCATGGGTCAAAAATCATAAGTTAGATTACCAAGTGGTATTATACAGTGTAGCTCCACTGCCTTTCTGGGCCTGCTGGTTTTATTTCAGGTAAGTGTATTATATGTATCAAAGACCATTTTCCTGCTCAAAGCAGGAGTAGAGGAAGAAATAACTCATAGGAGATTCATTACTTGGAAATAAAACACAGGCTTACATTCCTTGTCCTATTAATTTTTGTCTCACTCAACATTGAAGAGACTAGATTTCACATTTTGTAAAAGATTTTGCTTTGCAGTACACGAAGTGCTGCTGCACGTGTGTTACAGGCCTTCTAAGAGATCAGTTATTTCTATTTGTTTGGTCATTTGAAGTCTACAGCCATTGAAATTTAAAAATCATTAAGCTGTTCTGATAGATCTTACAAGTAATTCAATATTATCTGTCAAAAATTTAAAATTCAGTCAAATTTTGACCTGATCCAGAGAAGCACTTAAGTACAAGCTCACTTTAGGAGTAGTGATAGTGTCACAAAAATAACCTTCTGAGCAACATGCTTCAGCACTGCTTCAGAACAAGGCTCATGTTAACCATGCACGTAAGCACAATTTGAGCCCAGGTCTCCAGAAGCAAAAAGACTCTCCAAATCAGTGTTACAGACAGTGGTCTGCTTGGCTGAAAATAAGTTGCCATACTAGAAGTGATGGATATGCAAGAAACTGCATTCCAAAAATTTTACCCTGATGAGGGAAAACATTGAAATGACCCCACAAGATCATAAATTAATATGGCTTTTCATAGTACAGCTCACTCAAGTGAGCATTTGCTATGTCCTAAATGGCAAATCTCATTTTAGAAATGCCTGGCTTCTTTCAGATTTGTATTTAGCCCTATCCAAGCCCTGTCATGCCTCTTTGTCAAGGAGTACCTAAGTCTATACAGGCTGCAAACGTGACAATCTTACAGCAGCATCCTGGCCAGAAACACCTGTTTGCATTCATGCATAAATCCTTCATCTAAGCAGCACCAATCAACAAGCTTGTAGCAAATTTGACCTTAAGTACACAGTGGACTGAGCTGCTGCAGCGGAAAATACCAGAACAGACAGGAAACCGTAACTAGTAGAGTTCAAGGTCATATAGCAATTTTTCTTCTTTGAAATAGCAACATTAGGCAGCCAAGAGATTGACTAAAACAAAACATGGAGGTGTACAGACTTGGAAGTTAGACACAGATGGTGATGATTTCTGTAAGGTCCTGACCAGTGATTTTTTTAAAAACCACCACCACCACCAAAATAACAAAACAAAAACAAGAGAAAAATATCCACATCAAATGCAACGGGCCAATGTGCTTGCTCCCATCAGGTGCCATTGCACATTTCTTAGCATTCAGACATTCATACATTAAAAATATGAATGAATAAATTAGCATTTTGCTCCATAATTTCATTGTGTGAGGAATTACGTATAAATAATGAAAATCAATACTTAAATAGAAGCTGCCCATTTGCTTGCAGTCAATAATAAAACTTGATCTTTACGGCCTTTCATTCAATGTTCTCCAAGGCCATAAATCCAAACTGTACTACTGAGTCACAGTGAAAAATCAGGCACTGATAGCCCCATTGTATGGAGAAGCAGAGAAGTCAAGTTAGAGCATCTCAGAATGCAGTCCCTTTTCAGCACCTTTGCAGCCCAGGCCACAAATAACTTGTTTAACTTCACACAGCAAATTACTGAAACAACTGAGAAGAGACAATCCCAAAATAGCCAGGATACAGTGTTCACTGGCGTCACCAGAGGTAAAGGACAGAGGGTGCAAAACAGTGGTAAGCAGATGCTGTGCTATGTATACCACATTCCCAAAGTTTTTCATCACTTGTAAAGCTGAAGGTGAATTAACAATGATTAGGTGTTACAGAAACTTTCTTTAGTATAAAGAGAAACATATCTTGGGGCAATCCCAAGCCCAAATACAGGCTGGGCAGAGAAGGACTTGCGGGTGTTGGTTGACAAGCTCAACATGAGCCAGCAATGTGTGCTGGCAGCCCAGAAAGCCAACTGCATCCTGGGCTTCTTCAAAAGAAGTGTGGCCAGCAGGTCAAGGGAGGTGATTCTCCTCCTCTACCCCTCCTGGAGTATTGCATCCAGCACTGACGCCCGCAACATAAGGACATGAACCTGCTGGAGTGGGTCTGGGAGGAGGGCCACAAAGACAATCAGAGGGTTGGAGCATCTCTCCTATGAAGACAGTCTGAGAGAGGTTGGGGGCTATTCATCCTGGAGAAGAGAAGGTTCTGAGGAGACCTTATAGCAACTGTCCAGTACCTAAAGGAGACCTACAAGAGAGCTGGAGGGGATCTTTTTACAAGGACAAGGAGGAATGACTTTAAATAGAAAGAGAGTAGGTTTAGGTTGGATATTAGGCAGAAATTCTTTACTGCTAGGGTGGTGAGAGCACTGGAACTGGTTGTCCAGAGAAGCTGTGGATGCTCCATCCCTGGAAGTGTTCAAGACTCTAAGCAACACGGTCTAATGAAAGATGTCATTGCCCATGGCCAGGGGTGTGAGAACTAGATGATCTTTAAGGCCCTTTCCAACCCAAACATGATTCTATGAAATAACTCCACAACAGATACCAAGGTGTGCCGAAGGTTTCATGAGCTCACATAGTGAAATCTCCATTTTCTGTGTTTTTTAGATTTATTTCATATTAAAAAACACTGCTTAATCTGTCACTGTGCTTTTTCTCCTTTAAATATCTTGAAGACAGGATTTTTCTTCTAAATCCATTTGAATTAGACAGTTACTCTAAGTGCTGCTGCTATCAGGTATGAGCTACAATTTTAGACAAGACTCTGATTTTTAAATTGTTAATGAATATGGAGCTGTTTATCAGTCATGGTCCTTCTCAAAGTGAAAAGAGGGCGTGTTTTTAACACTTGTCTGATATGTATCTATTTTGCCCGCTCAAGGTGAGAAACTGAAACTTGGAGAGCTGAAGCCAAGGGCAGGAATCTGAGAATTTTGATCTTGGCTCCTGTTTCTACCACTACTGCACATTTGTTCCTGTTGGCTTTACAGATTTATACTGTGGGTAAAAAAGGAATTTACGTTAGTGCCACATTGCCAAGACCAGGAGTAACACCGATTTACCGTTCAAAACAACTGCACTTCATGGCAGAAGACGATAAAATCAAATATACTTAGCTTGGTGTACACACCAAGACAACTTTACCAGAATAAGGACTTCAGTATCTAACACTGCAGTCCTGTCAGTGTGGGCAGAGCTTTGCTTCACACAGGTGAATTAACAACCTCCCCACAAACCAAAGCAAGCTCTGCCAACAAGGACAGAGTTTAGCTCAACTAACTCGAACAACACTCAGGACTTTGCTACCCTAAAATGTCAGTCAGAAGCCTTGACTTTTCCCATCCCTGACCTATGTAGCTGATGTCAACAATATAGATGTAGCCTAAATATGATTCAAAATTGTTCTCAGCTTTGATTGTGCTTTCCATGGGCACAGTATGCTGGATGCTTGTTGGTCCTGTGGCTAAGTTGATGGAACTGCGGGTGAAAACTCTAGCTCTCCCATAGGAGAGCCTTATGTGTGCTTGATTTCTTGTGTGACCCTGATTAAGTTATTTAAGTTCCATATGCCCCACTGTTCTTTCTGCAAAATGGAGGCAATGGCACTTCCAAATATAATGCAAAGAGATTGTGAAAATAAGCATACTGGAGACAATTAAATCTTCAGGAAAGTCAGTGCATTACTCACTACTATAGAGATAATTTAGGGATGTGAAATCTTTTAAAGGACAAATATACCCGTGAAAACACTTGATCTGTAATTTGTGTAAGTGAAATTATTTTCTAAGTTAAACAACTCATAGCCAGTCCCTCTCAGTAGACCATATGAACTGAGAAATAAACACCTCCAGGATTCCCATCAACACAACAGACTCATTGGTAGAGCTAATGCTAAAAGATTACTGTTAAGTCAAGTTGAAAATGCTTGTTTTCAAATAATTTTGGTCAGTTGAATATCTATATTTGGTTGGGGGTAAGGGGGAGATGAGGGAAAGGTCTCAGTGACCAGCTCAGATAATATACTTATGAAGCTATCTCTGGAATTCTTACGTTGGTACCTATGACACTATCAAATTCATTGGAAAGAGTTTATCACAAAGTTAAATGTCAGCAGCTGCAAGCCTTTAAATGGAACATACTTCAGCTCCTGGGCAATGGCAGCGATCTGTTCCACCCTGTCCTGGTGAGCAGCCAAATCGCTCTCAAAAGCTTCATGTTTCCTTAACATGGCACGGACTTCTGTCAGAGTAGCAGATTCATAATCCTTCTGAAGTAAGGACTGCTCTTTGCCTGAAAGAGGAAATTTAAATATTATTCATTTTTACTAAATTATTTGTTAGAAAAATTCAAAACTAAATCAACTTTTTAAACTGAGGCATGGTAAAAATGGTGAGGTATGTGATGAAATCCCACCCCCAGTGAAAACAGCAGCAATTGTCAGCCCAACAATGTTAATTAGAAACACATATTTTTAAAGATCACTCGGTAATTTCTTGATTTTTGCATAGGCTGTTTAGATTGGTCTAAAATAGTGAGTCTAAAATAGTGAGCATTACACTGCTTGAAAAACTGGCATCAAAATGGTATTTTGGCAAAAACTGGATCTCTAAACCATTGTGATAAGTCTTTTGTAGAATAGACTTAGGAAAGCAGATATCACACTGCTATGCTCAGCTTCAGTCTTACTAATATCTGTTATTCTTTTCTGTGTTCTGCCTTCAGTACTTATTGACTTCAGCACTTTAAAAAGCCCAAACAAACCCACACCCTGAGATGTGTGACTGCCTTCTGTGACAAACACTGAATTTTAAGTGGAAAATGCCAACTTATTTACAAAAGGCTAGAGAAGCAAAGAGTAAATAGAAACTGAAATACTGCTCCTGAGTAGTTCCTGTGTTGGACCTGGGACAATCCATACAGACAGGCCCTACAGCTGCAGCTCATCACATGGCATTACACAGCTTTGAGTTCTAGAACCACAAGCAACTATTATTTCACTTGCTATGTGCCAGTCTATGTGAAGTTTTCTCTGCACATCAGCTATAACGTGTCACTATGAGTAGTTTATGCTCAGAAAATAGGCTCTCAGGGCTGATAAACACTGTAGTTTCCCTTCTAGTATATGCTTGGCAGCCATTTACAGCCTTGTATGCTTCCATCAACTCTGTTAGAGGGTGGACTCTGGTTCACTTTCACAGTGTGGAAAGAATCTAACTGGAAAAAGCCAGAAGCATGGCAGCAGCAGGAAGAGTTATCAGGGCAAACAATAGGACAAGAGAGCAGATTTCTATTTAATAGAAACTGAATGCCACTGTATGGTCCTATAGCTGTTACAATTATGTGTAAGGCTAGGTTACCATTAAAAACCAGGGCTACAAATGAGGTGTAATCCAGGGTTTGGAGCAAACCAGAAATGAGTCCATTACCATGTATTTTATGTGGACTACCCAAAACATCATGATGACCAAATAATAATCAGTTCAGGATAATTCTGTTAATAATTTCACCGTTAACCAACCAGTAGTGTCTCTGTGTTCCTGGTTGGATTGCTGGTGTACCAATATATAGAAGTACATTAGCAGTAGTGGCCTCTATTCAAATTCTGAATATTCCCATTAAGTTTGAGTCACTACCTCAAATATGGTTTTTACAGTTATTCCATTAGCAACATGCCAACAAGTTGGGATCGTGACTACTGTCAACAAAACCTGACATTTTATCTGTTATTATTTGAGGTTTCTAAAATTGTCCAAACTGCTTATGAGTAAGATCCTGGTTGGCAAATACTCAGCACTGACAGTTCAACTTTGAACATGAAAACATTAAAAATGTTAAAAGCCATCTCTGCTCACCATATGCCCACTGTTCATGAGTGGAAGCCTTCTGCCTAAATTTCTCAGCCAAGTGTTCAAGTCTTTCCAGTCGTCGTATTTCATTCAGCAGCCACTCTTCATAGCCTTTCTCAGCTTGTTCAAGTCTCTGCCAAGCGCCGGCAATATCCTGCAAAGAGAGAGGGGAGAGAGGGGATGAAACTGTAATCTCTTTTTACCTAAATTTACGGGTTTTTGATTCATTCACAATTTGGCTTCAAAATGAGATGTTTTTATGTCCAGATTTTGTAAAATCACAGAATCATAGAAAATGTTGTCAGGCAGCTCAGGAAGCCTTTCAGTTCGCACGCCTGCTCCTAATAGTGCCTCATATTCAGGTGGGTTCATGAAAGGAGCCCCTATCCACATCCAAGCATAGCTACATATTCAAGTCTTCACAACATATTGCCTTTGTCTCCCAGTTTACAATGTGTGTGTTCTTTTATGACATACCTATCTGTGATCAAATTAAAGTGCTTTGCTTTCACAATTTGACAATAGCAAAATAATCAGTATCAACAGGATTTGATGAATATTTTATCTGGAATACGTATTCATTTCACTTTCTGTGGTGCACAAAGTTTTGTGAGTTTCCTCAAAAACTCAAAGGCATAAGTAGGAGATAGAGGTAACAGGGCCCTTGTTTTCTGCATATGGGGAGTGGACAATGGCCCTTTTCAGCTAGTATAGTCATTTGTTCATGAAATCTGAGCAACTAAAACACAACAGTAGAATAAAGTACAGAAATGGGTTTGCTATATTCTACAGGAAATGTTTTGACCTGCAGTCAAATCACAGTATTTATCAGCATATACGAATTCACGGTACTGACTATTCTTATCTTCACAGACGAAAGAAAACAACAGAACAGAATTTTTGAAAGTTGAAAAAAGCAGGAGCATATATTGAGCCATGTCTGTTTCTGTAAGCCTGATGACTAAAATGTCAGTGAAACCACTGTGAGTTTTGCTTAAATAAACAATATTTGCTCAGAGAGAAGTATTGATAACACTCCCAGAGGAAGCTCTGTCTCATCTTGCATCTCAAGACAATTTGCTACAGGGGAAAGCCTTCAAAGAGGCAGGAGCATGCTTAAGAGAAAGCAAGATTCTAGAATTAAAGGGAATGTGTAAAAAGAGTGGTTTAGTATTGAAAAAGTGCAACAAAATGATGTTTCTGAGGATTACGTAAAATGGCCCTTCAGTCCTTCACACTGATATTTTTGGGAGATCGTTGATGAAGCGAACAGAATATTGATGCCTCCTGTACTTACTGAAACCATTTTCCCCTCTGATGGCATGAAAGCTGGTCGATTGCTGATTCTCAGTTTTGTCTGCAGGGTGTTGAAATTGATCTCCAGCTGGCATTTCTCTTGGACTTTGGGAGGTTTGTGTTTGCGGCGGTAGTCCCGGAAATCCTCTAATTTCTTCTGCATAGCCTGCATTGTTTTTTCTGGGGTCCTGTTTTCCAGCCAAGGAATTGTCCGGCGAATCCACTCTAAAAGCTTTCAAACCAACACAAACAATTCAAACAAAGTCAATGGAAAAGCAACCAAACCAAAAGATTATATTGAATGCACAATTCTTAATTCAGTTTTTTCCATTTTAATATTGATTTGTTGGTACCAAAGCCTTAATGGCAAGTAAGCACAAGATTTTCAAAGCTGAATAGTACTTTTAATGACTAATTTGCTCAGATATTCTGGGTATTTCTAGAAATACCCTCATTTTCAGAAAGATGAACACACATGTAAGGTGTCTCTAGATAATTACTCAAAATCTGAGTAGCCCAAAACCACTTGCCACTTTCAAAGGCCTTGGTCTTGATGCCTCAGATAGTCAATGTTATGGGATCAGGACAGAAATCAGCCAAGTAACTCAGGCCATATAAGAATCTTCACTCAGAAGTACATTAGTGCCAATGTAGACACAGAGAATAGCACTATGGTCTCAGTATGCTTTTGCAAGTTATGCATAAAGAACAAGAGAGCTCTCACTTGTGCACTATACATCTGTAGTCCTGACTCAACAGATTTGCCATTTGCCAAGAAAGAACAGGAGGAGCACAGTGTGCCCCCTTCTTCATTTATCTGCTGTTTGTGTTCACTGGTGAATTGTGAGACTGAGTGACTTGATGAAGGTCATACAGGAAGTCTATGGCAAAGGAGTAACCTGAACCTTGGCAGCTTCGGCAACTGTGCCTTTTAGCCTGGCACTGTGAGATTTACCCTCATAGTGTCTCCTCTTTGCTGTCTTGCAGGGAGTGCTTGAATCTTTCAGCTTTCAGTATTTCATGAACATAATTATCACCACAGTACAGATACAGGGTCTTTACCTCACTTGCTAGTCTCTCATACTCTTCCATCAACCTCTCATTTTCCTGATTCACAGCAAGCACCTTACAGATCCGGTTAGCTGCAGTCTCAGCCTGTAACACACAGTAAATAAACAGGACATATTCATAAACACGTTCTGAGAAAGGTGCAGGCTTGGAGAAAGAGAGAGAACACAGCTGCTGCAAATAAAAAATCACATTGCTTTATAGTTGACGATTTATGCTCTCAGTTTACTTAGATATTCATTTCCCCTCTTTCTGCAGTCATGGATTCCAATGGCCTGAATAAGGCACAGACCAGCACAGAAGTCACCTTGTTGTACAATGAAGCCTTATCATACAAGGGGGAATTTCACACAGCCTTTATAGTTGTCTACTAAATCTTTTCTTTTCCATGATGACTTAGGCAATTCTTAAAGATATCCTATTATTTCTTTTCAATCACACCAAAAAAGTATTACATTTGTTAGCCACACTGGAAAGACACCATTTGTGGTTCAGGAGTCTCAGACCACTCTATATCTGCACATTATATGTGCATATACCCTTGAGCATATATGCAGCTGAACCACTGACAGCAAATCTTTTCATGCCTCTTGACAAATTTATACGTGAAGGCATAGTGTAGCTCTGCCATATTTAAAATTCACATTAGTAGTTTGACATCACAGAGCTATCCTTCCATACAAATGTGACTCTGGAGTATAACTAATCAAATAAATATCTGTGTAGACTCCTGTGTTACAGAGTATTTGGAATTCCCCTTTGCATGAATAGCAAAACCTTCTTACCCAGAAGTGAGAGGATGCAACAGCATAGTTGTGCTGTGATAGGTGACCTACCAGACAGGAAAGGAAATTAAATCCTGAGGCTGGAGGAAAAATATCAACTACTATAAGGGTTCATTATTATTTTTTTTTCCACATAAGTTGGGTTGTAGGCTAGAAATGTACGAAGCAGAAGACTGGGAAATGACACACTTATAAGTGAGAATCCCATCCTGTATGACAGGTCTGCTGCTGATGTTCATGCCTTTTGTACTAGTACTTTGATCCACAAATAATTCTGTGGGCTTCAGTGGGAACAAGGGACAAATACTGTGTTGGATGTCTTCTGTGCCCTTCTGCATCTTTAGACATCTTTGAAAATCTAGCCCTAAATTACTACTCAACATGAGTAAGTCAAGAATAGTCCCAAATCTCCAAAAGTGAAACATTCTTTTATGCAGCAAATGTATAAGATGCTGTAGCAACAAGCAACAACTCCATTTCACAGTATCTTCAAATACAGTTTTTCTGAAAGAGTCTTTATAATCATCAAATAAAGACTCAAAATCACAAACAGGAATGTCCACTGGAATTAAAGAAGTTAACTTGCTACACAACATATAACTAAAACAAGTTCAAGAGTTGGTTAAAATCAAGTATTAGTGCTCAAGTAATACTTGCAACTGTTAATAAAAACCACATGGGACTAAATTAGTTTGGTTTTTTAATAAACTAGTGGAAATGTGAAACAACCAGTCAAAACCACAGCAACCTGAAGGGACAGTTGATTAATACCTGCTCTGCTCCAGCAAAAGCATGGTAGAAGCAGGACACATATGTCATGATAGCTCTCTCATCGGGTTTGGGAGTGTTCACAATATCTACAAGAGGGGGGAGAAATTGAAACAAAACAAAACAAAAAAAGAATCGAGGAGTAGAAAACAGGGTGAATAAATAAATGCACAATATCGTGTCATTCTGACTGTTTTCCTGTCCATAGCTCTGTATTCTAGAAACTCTACAAAGCTGTAACAAATTTAGTGTTAGATTGACAGGTGCTGACAGAATCAAATGTGTACTAAAAATTCAATGTAAGCTCTTAAAAAGAGAAATACTGTTTTTTTAATAGGCCTGATCCTGAAGTATTGTCACAGGGGGAATGACCTTAATTTTACCAGGTCTGTTTGCTTAAGAACTGGCATACACATGTCTAGTGACTTAGAATGTGGGGGGTTTTTCGACCAAGACGTAGGAAAGACAGACTACCTCTCAATCCGGAGAGATGTTCTCTGGAAGTTGCATGTGGATTAGTTATAACCTTAGCACTATGTATCAGTATTCTTTATATTACTAATACCTGAAGTATGTCCAACTCTGAACTGCCTTGCCTTTTAAAATTTTCCTTCTTTTCTTTAGGACATGATTCCAGATCTTGTCTGAGATGTCTGTGTATGTTTCTGTCTCTGTTTTGCATGGTAGCATCATTTTATCTTGCTCTTTGTACTTACCATTAATCATTTAACAATTTAAAAACAATCCTGAAAGCATAAGAGAAGGGTTTATTGTCTGAGCATGTGTTATGATGATTTTGACATCTGTGGCAGAAATAATATCCAGCAGAGAAGAAAGGTGGCATTCTGCTATTAAAATTGTATCTTCACTATGAGCTCATTTTCACCTTGCATTTTTAATGGTGCTTCAAATGAATGCACACGAGTTCAGATAAAGAGAATATTGTCCTCTATCCCATTCAGTAACCAGCTGTCAAAAGCCTACTGGATATTATTAGTAAATATACAGAAAGATGAGACAGAAAGGTTTGTTTCTATGGAACAAATGGATAGACTACTACTTGTTCTACTAAGACAGTGGCTCACAGAGAAAATCAGGCAGCAGGAAATGAGCTCATCTCTAAGATGCTGTTCTAGTAACTAGTGAGGAAAAGATCAGAAAAGGAAAAAATTGCTGAAAGAAACAAGACAGAAGGTGAAGGATGAGATCTGATCCATCTACAATCTCACCTTCTGAGCACCAGCAAATGCATGGTAGTAACAGGAAACATAAGTCATAATGGCTCTTTCATCAGGTCTGGCAGTGTTTACTACATCTGTGTAGAGAGAAGAGGGTTAACTGCTCAGAAATCCCCACAAGGTACTTCCACCTGATTATGCTGATGGTGCCACCTCAGTGCTGTAAGGATTCCAAATAAATACACCATTATTCAGGTTGCATCTGTTTACTGTTATCAGTGCAAAGCCACATAAGCTTTAGGAATCAGTAAATGTAAAAGATATAACTCTCCCTGAAATGGCAAAACATCTGAAGGCTGAGACTGTACAGAAGGGTATTGCTACCTTCTGGTTTGTGGAAGCTTCCAAGCAGATGGCATGGCTGGCAGATCTACTGGGTTCAGCTTCACTGCCACTCCAAAGCAACTTCATCTAAATCACTGGAATTATTCTAAGCACAGCCACTGACTGTCACAAAACAGAAATGCATAGTGTGTATCAGCACAGGGTCCCTATGGCTGACAGGGTATTGACATATATTGGAAACCCATAGAACTCCTACAGTCCAGAAATACATTTTGTGCTAAAAAATAGCTTGGACAGTAACAGTTTTGCAATCCTTGTGCCGGCCTGTCTTTTAGTTAATAGCATTTATCACAGGAGAGTTTGGCTTGACTGGCTGATAGCTTTGTCCCTATTATTGCAAGAAAGAGTGAAAATATGAAGTGGGTGCAATCAAAGTATGGGTACATGGATAAAAATGGACCTTTTCATTTCTTAACAGAGAAAAGGAGAAAAAGGTATGTTTACACCAATTATGGCTGAGTAATGACTGTTAGTGCAAGCTGCAAGGATTCCTGTCAGTGTAAGGAGTGGGACAATAATGACATGAAAAGACCCAGGAATGAGGTGGCAATTTCTAATGTTAACAGTGAGATTGCTAAATTCAGGAGCAATGTATTTACTGATTTTACATCTACATTACACAGCTGTGAACAAAACTTCACAAAGCTTCCACTGAGAGCACAGTGGAAGTAAAAAGAGTAAAAAGTGACAGCGAATATTTAGAGGGTATTAGAAGAAATATTATTTCATTTCCTCCTCCCCTGCCAAGAGGAGAATAGTAAGATAAGGGCTAGAATGTGCAGAAAATCTGGTGAAGAAAATAAAAGTTTTTTTACATTGACTATAAAGAGAAAAAAATGAAGAATGGAGAATGATAGTAAGAGGTCCTCAGTGGTAAGGAGGTAGAACTTCTCTGTTTATTCCTTGCACAATATTTCAGAGCAAATTAAGTGGTGCTTAAAACAGGAATTGCAATTCAAAAGATGAAAACAATTTGTTTTGCAGCATGAAAGTGAAACCAAGAACCCTCTTCAATGAAGAGGTTACAACCTAGATTTTCCAAAACATCCTGCCTAACTTTCCTACCAAAGACTTCAAGAGGAGTAGACACAGTCAGTTTGAGTGCTCTGGATAATTCCCAGGTCATCACTGCTCTACAGACAAGCCGCCAGAGCAGTCTCCATTCTTGGTGGAGAATGGTTTGAACTACTCTAGGCAAATGCCAGTATTTTGGCAGCATTTTTTTGCCTGGAGTACATAAGTTATGCTGAAGAAATTCAGGAAACTCTAAAGGTTATTGTAGACACACAAGCTCTTTGTTAAAACTATCACTGCAAAAAGTTTACAACTAAAATAAACCAAAAAATATGCTTCCCTCATCCTACCTCTCTTTCAGAGGAGGCATGGGTTAGTATATTTTGAAAGTTTTGTACTTCTATTTCTATTTCTGGCCATCTCACTTAAACATTTAAAAAAGTGAATATGCTTTATGCTGCTAACAGTTGTATTTCCCTTTATTAGAATTATATTTTCATTTTGTAAAGGCAAGGATTAACTTTTGATCCTGCATTTTACCTCAACTCTCATCACAGTGGGGCCATGTGCTGAGGTTAGGGTCCAATGTACTATTATAAATGCAAACAATAACAAACAGTAAGTAATGAGGCAAAAAGTGAGTGAAAGTATCTGATCATGGGGGGAACACGAAGGAAAATATTGTTTGAAATCAGTGCAGGTTGCTACAATATGATTCATGTGGAAGGAATGTTGACAACTTGCCAAATTAAAAAAAAAGAACAAAAGAAATCTTACTGTGTCCTTCTTATGAGAACAAAAACTTCAGTAAGATATAACTCACCTTCTGCATCCAGCATCTTTGGGATATCCAAGTGCTTTTCAGCAATTTCCATGGCAAGGTTGATATTTCCTATGGGGTCATCCTGCATTAAAGAAGAAAATACAATAAGTCAAAGGTAGAAGTTTTTCTCTGAAGCAAGACTACAGTAGGTACACTAAAACTTATTTGGTTTTTCCACACGGTAAATTAGAGTCATAACTATTGTTCTTCAAAAAGCAGAGTCTCGGTATAAGAACTTTTGGTCTATCTGTTGCTATACTTTCAAAAGCAAACTTTAATAAGCTGTTATCTACCACTAGGACTCTTCTGCAAATATATTCTGGAGGGGAACATAGATAACATATGTGGTGTACACTCATAATTCTGAATTAAGTACAGCAGCAATACATACAATAAAGGCCAGTAAAGCTCCAGCAGGCTAAACTAAACAATTCACCACAAAGTTAGTCCTGCCACTTTTATACCCACTACAGTGTATTACAGGGATATGAGTTCTACTGACTTCTCTTGGTCAAGTGCATGCATGAGAAGAAGCAAGCACAGACAGAATAGTTCTTCAGAAGGAGCAAAACTTGCCAGTTTTGGCTTGCACACAAAAGTCTGTAATGCCTCTAGAAACTGAATTTTAGAGCTGTGGAAATTCAAGCACTTTTTTTTTTTTTTTGAGATTTTGGGTTTTAAAGGAAAGAGAAAGGAAACAGAGAGCACAGTTCAGATAGACAGCACACATTTCATGTCTTCCACTACAGACAGTTGCTGACAATGGAAGAGTATGTCAGACTAGGGCTGCCATTAAGGTAGCTCTCCCATATCAGCTTGGAGGGGAAACACCCTATGTGAAACAGCAGTTCATGCCATTAATGTTATTATTATTTTCACATATTTGCAAACTGCTAAATGATCATAGCCGTTCTGAACAAAGCCTATGTCTACAGAGAGAAGCTGGGAAAACAGGACACAGAAAAGCAAAGTGAAAAATATAGTAAATCTAAGTGAGACCTATTGACTAGGTTAAAACACCTGGATTATGAATGAGTGATGAGTAGCTCCTATTTGTGGGCTAAGTCCATGAGTAAATAGTGCTCCACTGGTAAAGGATTTCTTTAAAATCACAGCAGCTTCTGAATAATTGGAGATCTCCATCACCCATCCTTTTAAACAAAACTACAAGCCACAGTAACTAAAAATCTCTGCTACAGCTAAAGAAATACCTGATCTAACTTGTCATAGTCAAGAAGACCAGGCCTGTGTCTATGGATAAGGGCGTTGAAAGCAAGGCCATCTTTCCAGCTACAAGTTCACACAAAACACATCGGTGAGAAAAGGAAAGGACAGCATGCAGGAGATAAGAAATCAAGAAACAAGACACCAAGACAGCTGTTAATGTAACCAAAATGAGCAGTCAATCAAACACAGCCAAGTCAGAAAAGCAAGATCTATTTTAGGATTTTTTTTCTGCATGTGCTTTACATGCCACAGCTCAGCCTCAGTTTGAAACCTGACCTGTTCTTATTTTGGAAACCTCAAAGAGAGAAAAAGTAATGTTGAAGCAGACTGCTTATGTTCTGTTCCTTTTTCTCAGCACTCATCTATGGGGTGGTTATACTGTGAAGTTCTTTAGTACTGTGTACCACTTTTCAAAGCACAAATTCAATCAAACTAACTTCTGTTTCTGTCCTGCATAATAAGCACATGTTCACAGAGACAGGTATCTTAGTCATTCCATTAGTCTGTTTATCTGTAGGAAAGGTTGCATATAGAATTTGAGAACAAGCTGGTATAGATGGATTATACTTTGCCCTGCAGTTCAGGTCTGCAGTTATCTTAACAGCTGCCTAAATTAAAACCTTATGTATTGAGTACTAAGTTCATTTAATTTTCAGCACTGCATGCCTTGGGGACGCTGGCATAAATTGAACCTATATAGAAAGCAGACTAAGTTTTAAAATAATTTCCCTTAATTCATTTATCTTTTCCTTCATAAAAGACTTGCTAATTACAGCTGATTCCACTAGTAAAATCGATTTGTAATGAAAGGGCATGGAATGGGAAATACAGCTGATGATTTACCAGTCTCTCTCATCAATGTAAAGTTGTACTCAACAGATTAAAACCATGATTAAGTTTTCTGTTGCACTGGTGTTTACACGAGACCTCGAGATGCATTCATTCCAGAGAGCAGAAAATGGTATGTATATCTTGAGAGCCAACATGAAACAGCAACATTCCACTTTCTTTCTAGGTTTTAGTCTTCAGCAGTAATACCAAAAAATTCTGACATTATTTCTTGTTCCTCATTCCTCTCTCTCAATCCTAAAGTGGCTGCTATCCTTCAGAAAACATGCATTTTGCCATGAGTAGCACAATATAATAAAATAGTTTTGCAATCCCCATGAGGTACTACCTAAGGAAATTAGGATATTACTTTTGTTTCCACTTGTCTGGAAGTATAGGTAAAAGTATAATATAAGAATCGGTGAATATTTTCTATATAAGACTAATAACTTACTGCATACTTCTAATTACCATGAGTAGTATTTGTTCTAGGGAATCTTATGATTAATCACCCTGTCATTGTTTACCGCTCTGCAACGTACAGTCATTTATACCAGACACAAAACAGGATAGACTGTACAATACAACCAGTGGTAAATGTATAATTCCAATGTATTTGATTTAACATCCACACTGGGCTGTGTAAAAGACCTCATCAACTGCCCAGCAGCTGAGGACCAGATTATTTGCAAGCAAATGCTGAAGTCATTGTAATGGGAAGAAAAAAAGGACACAAGCCAGTCAGGAGGTCCTCTCCCCCATGTCACTGGATTTTTTTGGAAGGACCTTAGAAAGTCAGTCAGAATTAGTATGCACTTCTCAGCCTGTCTTTTAGAAAACATGCTAAGCAAACCAGAAGCAAGCCAAATCACTGCAGGACAGCATGCTGTACCACCCAGACTGATGACCTTATTTAGCTTGGAGTAGTCAATAAGATCAGGTCGGTGTCTGTGGATAAGTGCACATAATCCAAGGCCATCTTTCCAGCTTTACAACAAAAAAATAAAATGGAAAAGCATTAGTTAATAACGTCATTTTACAGTTTGATCCTTGCTCAAGGCTTAAAATCAAGCAGGAATTCTGTCAAATCCTGACACTTATGTTCTGTCAACGCTCATCCCTCTGAGCTGGTCTGTACTCCTCTTACTGTAGTACACATCTTACTCTACAATTCATACACACTTAAGGACTCCATCTACTTTCTAGGCAGTGCCTATTTTTTGCAATAGTCCCTGACTTCAATTCCTTAACTCATATAGTGTTCTAGGATAGCTCAAGTGTTTAGCTCATTCATCAATGAAAGTGCATCATCTCTCATTACAATTACAGTGTATTTGTGAAAAAAATAAAAGAGCAAACCAGCAATTACTTGAGTCTGCTGAAGCAATTGGCTTCTTCGGTGTCAGTTATTTCTGAGAATTTTAATGGCACAACCATGTTGTGCTCATAGAAGTAAAAAGTCATAAATCAGCTTAGTTTATTTAAAACACTTCACAGGTATGAGAGCTTTGATCTGAGTTCTTACACTTCATCATGACTTCAGGCCTGCTACTTTTTGAGGCAAGAATAGGCAATGAATGGAGCTACACATAACATCTGTTTGGAAAGATTATGAGAGGTTCCTTTCAGCCAGAGGCAATTGTTCTGAAAGGCACTTTATGTAAACATTTTATGCAATCACAGGGACTGTGGGTTTGAGGTCTTGTTCTGTGCAGTAATTGTGTGTTCCCAAACACTTAAGACTGTTAAAATCCCTGTCACTGAAAAGCCTTGGTAGGCCCTTCAAATAACAGAACCATTTCCAACAAAAATATAAGACAATCAAATAGAATATACCTACATTGTATAATATATAATCATCCAGAAGGTAAAACTGAATCAAACTGAACACCAAGCTAAGAAATCTACTTTTTTTTTCTCAAAAGGCATAGGCTAAAATGATCTGGACATCCCACTGGAAAGTAGTCCTCTATGAGCTGATCCACCCAAACATTAATCAAGGTAGTTTTGTTCAAGATGTTTTCCCCATACCATGTATCAGAGCAGTATATGTACATATACACACTAGGATTCTGATACTGTAATGTACAGTACAGCCTGGGTCCATATAAAGCTCTACTGAAATATACCACTGTATATTCTAGGAAAGTAACACATAACAAATTTCAGATCTCTGAAAGGCAATACAGGGACTCTAAATCAAACAGATTCTTTTTATCTGGGAATGCATGCAGGAACTGTATCTTCTCTGTCACTGCACATGCTTTAGGTACTGCACATTAAGTATTAATTCAAAACACCAAAACACTAATACAGAACTCTTGTTTTGAATACTCTAAGGATTTTGTGGAAGGAAAGATCACATGGATAAACAGTGCAAATGGCAAGTCATGTAGTTTAATGAGGTAGGTCACTGGCACAGCTTTAGGAACCAGCCCAGTGAAATCCCCAAACCAGGCAGCCTGTACATGGCCTGGAACTCCCATTCCAGCCCTTAATGAAAACACAGAAACAAAAAGCTGGAGCTTCACTAAATTTTCCAGCTTAGATAATGATCCTATTCTGAAAATGAATGTGTTTAAAGTGCTGCTGTTGTGTATGTACTAAGTGCATTTTTTGCATTACAAAATAATAAAGACTGATTCATCATAATGAAATATTTGCATGCTCAGCAATACATTTAGAATGTATTTTTGCCAGAACAGTGTCTCTGTGGCTCTCTACAGTGGCTCTCATTTGAAAGCAGTCAGCTGCCACTATGCTGCAGTACTCAGCAATTCCCCTAGACTAAGGACCTCTAGTAATGTAATATGGTCATTCTGTATGTAGCAGGAATTTTCATCTTTTAAATAGCAACTATGGAAGTCATAGTGAATAATGCCAAAGGCTAACCAAAATAAGACTCTGAAGACAGAGCATGAGAATTTGAAAAAAGTATAGTTAACAGCAAAAAGCAAAATTTTCCTGACAAATATATAACTGTGGGAAAAATTTGACGTAAAATTTTTTATATTGCTTCTACCTTTGAAATAATGGAAGTTTACCTAAGATGGAAGTTCTGAATGTTCACATTTCTGTAAGGAGCAGTTTTTCTTTGACACCACAGCAGCAGCCCTTCTTTGGCAGAGGTCTCTGTAAAAGACACAAGGGAGTGAAAAAAAAAGAAAAATGTAAAAAGTGCTCAAGCAATTAATTTCTTGTCATCTTAAATGCAGTCAGTCACCTGAAACTGATTGGATAAACCAACATTCAATCCTAAAGGATACTCATATAAACAGACCTCTGGGGCTCCATTAGAACATTAGCTCAGACCAGAGCCTCAGCCTGCACAAAAATTCTGGGATATTAGAAGCCTAAGGAATTAGATTGGTTGGACAGCAGCTGTATATTTGGAATATACAGAAATACCCAATACAAATATAATACAACTAGACATAATTGGTGTCTACATGAAATATGCCTGTAGTCTCAGTCCATTTGCTTGCAGGGAGGTATAAGTGCTGAAGAAATACCTCATTATCTGAACCCTATGGGCATCAGAATGCATTAAAAAAGGCCAGAAATTATTAAATAGACCATTAGGTCCTCATTTAATGACTCACAAATTATGGGCAGGACAGTATGCAGAGCTTGCATTGATTCTGCTTTTGTTGAAAATTGAGATTAGTTTCTACAGCTCTAGACTTTTCACAGCATAGACTTGATTTAAAAAGTACTGTAACTACAAAATCCTTTTTGGAGCCAGTTACCAAGTGAAAAAAAGTTCTGAAGCAGTGTAGGGGGGGAAGTGATAGAAGATGTATATAATCATAAAACGTTTCTTTGTAAAGAATGTGAGAAATGGACAGGACTACAAAAGTATGTTGAAAATAGGACCGACCGCAAACAGTACTGCACAGTTTCAGGCCACTGAAGCTCAGAAACATAGGCATGTTTCAATCTCTGTAACTGAGAAACATGATCAGACATTCTTCATTTAGAAAGCTGCTTTGAGGTCTCTGTCAGGATGAGAAGAGTAATTAATTTTTCCCTCCAGAAATTATTTTTGCCACCAGGTAGAGCACTTGCAGTATCATATTCTGTGAAAAAAAAAACTTTTAAAACACTCCCCTCACTTGTGCACAATTCATATAAAAATGTCTTTAAAAGAAATTCCTTCATTGTGTAAGATGATTTCATTACTATTACCTTCCACTGAAATATCCTGAATAGCAAAGCGAAGGATGATAGTCCAGATCATACCCAGTGTCATTTTCACATTGCCGTCCACGATTTCTAAGGTGGAAAATAGATATAGTAGTAGTATTTAGAATGTATTTTCAATTTTGTCTTATTTTAATCATATATTTCTACAAATAATATATTGTATCTAATAAATTAATAATATTTCTACCACAATTTGTTATCTACACAGAGTTCAACTGGGTTCATTTTTCAACAAGCTTGTGCTTGTGCTACACTGGCAATAGGACTGAAGATTACTGAGGTTAAGGTCACTTCAGCCCTTCCAGGCTTCTCTTCAGGTAGTTGTAACAGGCTGACTTTTTATAGAGAGCATGAGGGGAAATATGGAAAGTTTGAACAATATCAGCCTTTCTGTTTTCAAAGACAAAGAAACTGAAAAATACGGTCTTACCCCAAATTCTAAGAAACTACAGGACATTGTAAAAAAATCCAGTGCTATTTTTATAATAAAATGGTACTCAGAAATTCCCCTCTACTACTTAGATATGTTTGAGAATTTCCTATAGTGCCAGCACAGACTAGGTATGGAGAATAGCTCAAGAGACACAGCACCTCCTGAGACTAAGCAGATTCCTGCCAAGCTGTTCAGAAACACAAGGTTGTAATGTCTTTCAGCTCTGATGCATACACACATTTATGTAGCTTTAATATAAATGGGATTGTTTACCTCTGGTGTCTCAATTAGTTTTAAAACTGCTTGAGACTCTCTGTAACACAGGGCACTCAGAAGGTGCATTCTCCAACCCTTCTCACCTGTACAAGGGAATCCCTGCCACCAGCCAGGTCAGAATCCAGTGCTCCTACATTGTAAGTGATATCACTTAAACTTCTCAATGCCAAAAAATGTACTGCCAGACCACTTGAGTGCAGTGGTAATGTTAAATCAGTCTGGAAAGCAACTCAGGAGACTCAGAAAAACATAGTGAGACTATAAGGATGGTCCAGCACTAGAGAGGGAGGAGGTAGGACAATGAGAGGTGGGAACTGCAGACTGACTTTCCAGTCACACCTCACACCAAAAGAGCAGTGGAGCAGGGAAGGCACCAGCTGCTCCCCTACTTGACAGTCACCTCCAGCCTTTCTTAAAAAGTGGAACAGCTGTGGCTGCCTGAGGGCCCACTGGTGTTCTGGGGAAGGAGCAGGAAGAACTTGCAGCAGGAGGAATTTAACATCAAATGCCAATAGAAGTACCAGCAGAAAATGCAGACGCTCTGCTACTTAAAAGTTGCCTGAATCCAGAGGCAACTTTTACAGAACAAAGCAGCTGCTGTCTCCAAGACTTGAGACACATGTTAAATTGCAGCAGGACGTGGTACAAGCTGTCATTTGAACCTATGGAATTAACAGATGTGATAGGAGATATGTCACCCATGACTAGTCTATGCTTACATTGTTAGTGTGATAATTCAAGTTTATATACGAATTGCAATTATCCGCTTGCCCCTTTGGATCCTACACTAATATTGCAGAATTCTTGCCTCACTCTGCCTGCTGTCTATGCATTATGATTACATTATTGCCCTGAAAGACCTCAGGTCTCTTCATATCTCAAAACTAAACTCTTTCAGACAAAAAAACCCAACCCAAATGGCAATGAGGGCATGTAGCTACTTCTCCTTCCTCCCTCCTCCTTGGCCAAGTACTTCACTATATTTTGATCAGATGTGTGATATGTAAAGACAAATTTCTTCACATGTAAAATAAATGAATTTAAATACTCAGGAGACATTGCTGATTGTCAGGCAATCAATTTCTGGATTTGCATAATCACTACATCGTTGTTTTGATTTACATATCTCTATGTACACACTGGCAGAATGAAAGAGCAAGAGAGAGAATTTTCTATGTTGTGCCTCAGGAGAATTTTCAAGTGATTTGCCAGCTTTGGTTTCTCATTATCTATGCAGGCATAAAATACAAAACAGACTCCCGTAAAAGACAAGGAAGAAAACCAAAGTTGCTAAAAAGTTGAAAGCATCAATGATAAAAAAGTACTGATTCATTCCTATCATTTTGTTCTACACGTCAACAGAAGTCTTCATTCACTCCTTCACACTGCCTGTTTGCCCTGGGAGGAATATAGTTCCTACACCTCACAAAAACAAAGTTACAACTTTCCGGGGATGAAGACAGGAAAGGAGAAAAAGGAAAGGGAATGGGAAACAATAAAAACTGTCTAGGGGAAAAGTTAAGCAAAGCAGTATGGCAGTCCTGGAGGAAAGGGATACTATCTAGAGAGACCCTGACACACTTGAGAGGTGGGCTGATGACAACCTCATGAAGGTCAACAACTGGGTTGTGGCAATCCCAGGCACAGCTACAGGTTGGGTGGAGAAGTAATTGAGACCAGCAATGAGGAGAGAGACTTGGGCGTGATGATGGATAAGGAGCTCACCATGAGCCAGCAGTGTGTGCTTGCAGTCCAGAAAGCCAACTGAACTCTGGGCTGCATCAAAAGGAGTGTGGCCAGCAAGGTGATTCTCCCCTTCTACTCTGCTCTTATGACACCCTACCTTGAATACTGCATGTAGTTCTGGTGCCCTCAGCATAAGAAGGACGTGGAACTGTTGGAGCAAGTCCAGAGGAGGCCACAAGGCTGATAAGAGGACTGGAGCACCTCCCCTATGAAGACAGGATGAGGAAGTTGGGGCTGTTCAGCCTGAAGAAGAGAAGGTTGCATGGAGACCTCGTAACAGCCTTCTAGTATCTTAAGGGGCTACAGGGGAGCCGAAGAGGGACTCATTGTCAAGAACTGCAGTGATAGGACAAGGGATAATGGATTCAAATTAGAGGGGAAATTTAGGTTAGATACTAGGAAAAAGTTTTTTATTGTGAGAGTGGTTAGACACTGGCACAAGTTGCCCAGGGAGGTAGTGGATGCCCCAACCCTGGCAGTGTTCAAAGTCAGGTTGGATACAGCCTTGAGCAACCTGGTGTAGCGGGAGGTGTCCCTGCCCATGGCACAGGGGGTTGGGACAAGATGATCTATAAGGTCCATTCCAACCCCTTAACATTCTATGATTCTATAATAATTTCTCAAAGATTTCATTTTCCTTTTTTTTCAAATTCTGCTATGGGTTTTTGGTTTTTTTAGGATTTTTTTATTCAACCTTCTTGTAGCAGATTCACAGATCATTTTGTCTTTTAACATTTTTCACACTCCCCAGAAAAGCAATACAGATGCGTTTCCAATTAACAGGATACTTATCTTTTTGTTGTTCTCAATATCTAGTTGATTTCATTCAGGATGCAATTACCTTGCAAATGGAATTCTACGCTTTTCTAAAACTCAAGGGAAAACTTCTAACTACTGGACTTTGAATGGCTCATAAGGACTATTTGCACAGTTTTTCTTTACCTTCTTGACTCTCTAGTCTCATTTCATGACCAGTGGAGAGAAAAACTCTTCTACAAGACAGATTGGAGTAGGTAAATTTGGCTTCTGCTCAGAATCACAGTTAAAGGTGATCAGCTTTCTCTTCTCCAAAGACTGGCCAAAGAAGTCAAGCTCAGACTAATAATGATGACTTTAAAGAATATTCCTGTCCCCTTAAAATACTAAGTTTATCTTTGTACTGATGTCCCACAGGAATCACAGTTTAGTCTTTGTTTTGAGACTCCATTTTAAATGCCAGTTGTTCCCCTTGGGCCTACATGCTCTTCACCATCCAGCATGTCAGATAATAGAACATGATCTTCAGCAGATTTAAATACAAAACTTTCATGCTTTGGAAATTAAAAAGTATTCCAAGCATCCATGTAACTCAAAGAATGCCAAAACAGATGGGTGCAGGCAAGCCCACATGCCCCATGCTCACACAGTGGCAGTGAGTTAAGGGGTTATGGACTTTGATAACAATACAAGGCTAAGGAGACTGTGCTGTGCCTCTTTGCTGGCATTCACTCCTACCAACTATAACTACTGCCCTGTTGAAAAATGAAAAATAAAATAAAATTAAAGAGGTGAAGTATGTTTTAAAACCAGATCAGATTGCTGATCCAGTCTCCAGCATAGCTACAGCAACAGTTGTCAGCCCAAGTGACAGGGCAGGGCTGTGCAGTGTGGGAGCAAGTATGCAGGACCAGAGGGCACAGGGGCTCTTTAAAAACATACTGGTGCCAGAGGTCCCACACTGTGAAACCATACCCTGTCAGATGTGATATTGCATGCTGCATCAGCACCACACTGTGCCTGCGATAACAAATTTAGTAGAAGGCATGTAGCAAACTTAACTGGGCACTAAGCAGAGTGTCAGAGCTGGCTTTCTGTTCAGCCTGTTTAGAGTAGGAGTGGAAGGCACATGAATCTATCTGCTCCCACCCACATGGATGTAATCTAACGTGGGCATCAAGCCATACTTGACATAGTGCAATGTCTTACAATGACAGGTTCCTCTCCGCATCTAAGCCATGACAGTTGCAGTGGATTTTTGTCCCATGCTTCCATTCAGGAATTTAAAATGTTTTGGTTTGGTTTTTGGTTTTTTAATGCTAACAAATTAATTTTTGCTTCTAATCCCTCCATTTTACAGATTGAGAATTCCAGAAACAGGGAATAAAAGCCAAAAAACATCACCTTAATCTCTTGGGTTACTAGCTATGGCCTGCTGTTACATGCAGGAATAAATACTGAGTGCATGGACAGTCACCTTGCAGCAAGTCTCTGAAAAGTTAGAAGAGGCTACTGCCCCTTGTTCCTGCCTCTCTCCCAAAGGGAATTATCACATAGCACCTAAATAACAGAGCATCTAAATTCATGCCAGTTGCTGCCAAGGAGAACAGTAAGGTTGGTTTAAATGTTCTCAATGTCTGATCTGAGCTATCCCAGATGCTTTGCCTTAAGGTGATACAGAAAGTGCTCAAGTGCTGCTCCCTGGCCTGAGCACCCTGGTAGTAATGAGCAGCAATAAGCAGGGCAAAGTGAGGGAGATGGGAATGCAGATGACTGGCTTGCTCCTTTCAAGAGCAAATATAAGCTGATCTATTTTGTTTAAAATATTCCAGCCTTGTGCAAACTGTGATCAGAGAGAACAAGCATCCTGTCAGCAAGATACTCCTTTTGCTACACTCTTGGTATTGGTCAGGAAGCCTCAGAGTCCCCAGCCTGACATGACAGAAATTATCATTCATTTGCTTCATGCTCTGTACTCTCAGTATTTCTGCACCAGCTATCAAACAGGCTTCTGTATTCTTCATTTTCAGTTCACACATAAATTGTCTCTTCAGTACCCTCTGCTGTCTATTCAATGCCATGTCACTCTCAGAAGAACCTTAACTGCAGAGGTTTAAGGTAGCAGCAAATTTTTCCAGCCCATTTCATTTAGCTGAGCAAAGGGCCCAGTGCCCCAACTGTCTGTACAGTCACAGAGGGACATGCCTGTATGTGGAGGGAGCCAGGCACCTCTGAAATGCAGTAGAGATCCTCTGAGCTATGAAGTGCCTTTGGGAATTTCCCATTTCTCTCCACTGATGATATATTCCCCCAAAGAGGCCTCTGTTATGTGCCTAAAGACAGACAGTAAGGACTTGGACTCAGGTCACCCAGTTCATCTCAAATAAATAAGGGTGAGTTCACATAAATGCTTTGCCCAGAGAACCCATTTTTTTGTATTTTTGAGTTCTAGATCTAGAAATTGAACACATTTGATGAAAAATACTTGAGGAACCAAGTGGGCTAGGTCAAACCATTGTGGAATCAATGGATACTGACAGATCTCTCCATTACGTCTACAGATACCTCTATCCCACATAATGAATCTTCTGTTCCAGCCACAATTACACTAAACTCCCTGAGATCAAGATTTGGAAGCCAGAATAAGGATATCTATCAGCCTGGAGAAATCAAGAAACAGGAAGAAGAGGCTCATAAATCAATCTAGAAAGACCTAGCAACATGGATAGAATACAGAAGAGTTTCTCATCATGATACTGAGGTTACAGCCAAAATTTTGCTCTAAGGATATGTTAGAGGCTGTCCTCAGAAAGAACATCATTGAGCCTATGGAATCAAAAATAGTTGGATATCATGCTAGACACATCATTCTTTGTATGGTATTGGCTATGTAAAGCATTCAAGTATCTCCAAGGATCATCTAGTTCTGGACAGACCTTTGTCCCTGTTAAAAAATCTGTTGAATCTCTAGGGAAGCAGAGGTTTACCTGCAGTGAGAACCTGCCTTCTTTAGCTTAGTCGACATATATCAGCATCTAGCTAGCCAACCACATGTTTGTATTTTGCTATCTGAACAACAGAACAATAAAAAAGTAATAACTTTAGTAAATAGCATCCTGCTCCACTTTCTTCATATGTTCATTCTCTCCCCAGCTACCATAGTTTCTTTTGATCACTCCCTTAACTCTACATCTAAATTCTAGAAACACAGCTGCAGTCTCATAATAAAATGGGAGTAGGTCCCAGTCACTCGGTAGTGATGTCAGCCTTTGTCTTGTCTGAATAACACTTCCTAAAGGTAAAAAATTATCCCAGATTAGATAGAGCACACCCTAGAATCCAACCTGATTTCTAAAGGAGTTCCTTATTTTTATTAATGTATAGGAAAAACATTGTATAGGAATGTCCTAATGTATAGGAAAGTTCTGAAGGAAAAAAACCATTATCTGAACACCTACTGAAACACAGACAATCCAATTTTACCTTGGAGATAAACTAATCTTAGAGCCCATTTTTACCCCTATCCCTCTCCTGTTGTCCACAAATTGCCACCTCTTGTCCTTTCACAGGTATAGGTCAGTAATCAACATTAAGGGATTATTGAGGCACCCATGTATAGAGAACAGTCCACGTAATGTGGCCAAGAGTCTCCGTCAGACTTCTTTGCAATGTGAGAGCCTAGGATCTATGTAAGGTGGACTGTCAAGCTCTGTCACATACCTTCTGCACCAATTGACACAAGTTTCACTCCTTTGCTGGCAATATAATCCAGAGCTTTGTTGACATTAGCAATTTTATGGAAGCGCATCTTCCCTCGGTCTGGTTTCGGTAGTCTCTCTCCTGCAGAACAATAAATTTAATGTGTTTATTGTTATAGACACCTTGCTACAGACACACAAGTGATTAGAAATCAAGACTGAATGCGCCCTGAATGCTGTCTAAAAGTTTGCAGCTATTTTAACGGGTATATTTCTGTAAAAATGTCAAATGTATGTCAAAATGTCAAATTTTCAGGGTTTGAACAAACCCTGAAAATTTAAAGGTTGAAGCATCTGTCTTAGGACTTTCTGACATAGTAGCAAAATTAGAGCAGCATTTCTATGCTTGCCCTAAATATGTGCATGCTTCCTACTACTCAACTTCTGGTTCATTGCTACTGTCTGTGTTAGAGTAGTCAAATATTAAGAAGGCAGAATGTTCTCAGGGCTCATCATCCTTACCTGCCTGACTACCAAGAGAGGCTGGACTCTATCCAGGAGACCAGCAATAGCATCCTTCCACATCTGGCCAAGAACAATGGCTTTTAAAAACCTCACCCAGCACAGCAGAGCAGCTCATTTCAGAGCACAGGCTGATGTGTTTGAACAAACTTATCTATTCAAATGATCACACAGAAGAAAAATTTCTGATAATTTGACCTCCTTTACATGAAGAGGGATCATTTGAAAATCTTCTTTCTGCACTGAATCTCCAGCAAAAATGTAAACTATCTTTTCCATAAAGACATGTTAAAAATCTTTTGCCCTTTTTCACCTTTACTGTGTGTCTAACTTGAGCTATTTGCTTCCCATTCAGGGGCATTCTGTACCGTGGGGACTGCCTCTCTGAATAACACATAACAAAGGTGACATAGTGAGTTTACATCAGCCAAAAAAAGTTCTTGGATGTTCCACTCCTCTGAAAAATGTGACCTTATATTGTGACTAAATACTGATGTAGTTTTGCTTTCAGCACTCGCTTTTGAAAGCATTGGTCTATTCAAAACAGTCATTAAAAGCAAAGCAAGATTTTTATACTAAAAGCAGAATAAAATGAATTTGTAACTGAAGTGTAAAGGCTTTTCAATTGTTAGGGGCTAAGACAAGGTACTCATTGTTTTCAGTTTGTCCAACAACATTGTGATGTCAATGATACCCCAATATACCGTGATAGCCACAAACACAAAACAGAACATTTTGGAGACAGGGGACAAGCAGAGCTTATTTTACCTCCCTTTTGCTTTACAATGTGTTTGATTTCTCACTTTTCAGTCTGTTTAGAGTTTGTGTTCACTGCTTTGAATTGTTAAAAATTTTTGTTCTTTTAAGAGCGTTTCAGTTAACATACGGTAAATACATAGAAAACTTCATTTTAGCCAACCTGAGATAACTTCCAAGAGGAGCATCAGTTTGAGGCCATTTCTGAAGTCCTCCTCAATGTTCTCAATCTGTGTGCCTGCTTTCCTGAGGTGGGAATTGCACCAGGCTGTAAACGTCTGTAACAGTAATTAAAAAAGCAACTTATCAACAAGGCATTTTCCCAGAAAGCTGCTAAGCCATCAGAGTAAATACTGCATCTGAGATTTCCACTACTGGCTCAGAAATTTGTATGTGCAACTCCCATTCATTTTATACATATCACTGAGTTGAAATTTGTTATTCCAGATATTATGAAGATTCAAAGAATTTCGTGATTAGAAGCAATTTTGTGCTAGATTCTGCTCATAAATGCCTCCCTAGGTAAAAGATCTACACATAAAGGCAAAATTTGTCTCTTAATTATTACTACACTATGAGCACATAATTATATGTTGGGACTTATCTCTTACACATTGTTTCTGAAAAGAAAGATTGATAAGGTATAAAGGAAGTTGTGTGGCAGTAAAATGTAGGCAATACCAAGCAAAGATGCACAAATTTCTTCTGCCTGAATTCATGCCACAATAGACAGTTCTTATACTGTTTATTTTATACAGATTGTCTATGCCAGGGACAAGTAACGTGTTTCTCATAGGCAGGAAGTGGTGAGAACACTCTTCAGGCTGAAGTAACTGAACAGAGACTTTATACAGCAAGGATACCAGCAAAACTGCATCTGCTCCTACTTGTAACTACAGTGAGAAACAGAATGCTTTTTGAAAACACAGACAATGAGAATGGATTTTAAAAGTTTAGAACAATTTGAGTACAGAAGTTCTACATTCAGACCCTACACATATGCCCTACTTTACTGAGAGGCTTATTTTTAAAACTGTATTATATTGGTTTCAGAAAACTACCACAAGAAGAACACAAATGCAGATACTTAAGTTTGAAGGGTAAAAGTGATCACGAAAGCAACCATGAATTCTTCTGTCCATGGATAATAATCAAGTCTGCTTTTACTTGCGAAGATGAAAAGCAGAACTAACTCCATTGATCTGCAGAGGTCATATACATGTTATCTTTGGTATGAATGAAATCAAAAGATGGGCTACTATAAAATTTAGTAGTTCAGATTAGTCTGTGTTCAAGTATCCCTTGCCTCTTAGCCTTCTGACAAAATCTCCTTGTTTTTCAGTGTCTGTTAAGATACACAAAGCAAGTTAGTATTTACTAGGTACATTACCAGGTATTTAACTCTAGGTATATGACAAGGCCACATATTTTGATAAGTTAGACTTCAGCTACCTAAAGTTGCCAAATATTTGGAATTCCCTTTCTTTTGCTATTTCAAATTACAGTAGTTTTAAAAACATTTAATGTAAATAGTTTATAAAAATAAAATACATCCAAAATCCCAATTGCCAATGTGAAATTTCCTTTGGCCTTCTTTATTCTTGCCTGTTTCTTTAGACTATTTCATTTTTGATCTCTCAAAAAAAGAATAAAAAAGGTCAGTAGATGAAGACAAAAATTTTGCCTGGAACTGAGTCTTGAAAATTCTAGACAGATTCCATACATTAAGAAGACATGCACTTAATTTTTCCAAATGGTCGATTCTTAAAAATCTAACTTTTTGTTAAAGAATAACATTTTGGCTATTGTTGGGTTTGACTCAATTTATGTGAAGACTTGATGTGCAGCTTGCTGGGGCTCTTAGTGCTCCTACAGTGACAAGGAACAGCTTGCTAAACCCTAGTTTTATCAACTTCTCCTATTGAATTGAAAGGAAGCAAGAAGTGCTACTGATACAGCAGAGCTGTGCTGTGAAAACCTAATTCTAGGCCCAGAGAAAGGAGGAAAGTATTGGAAGTGGTTTTGGGCAGGGGGCCTGTAGACCTGCAGAGGATGAATTGCAGGTAGAGACATAAGATGGACATTCTGTGTGCAGATGGGAATAAGTATGGCTGCAGCTGAAGCATCTCTGCAAAATTCATAAAGGGGTGTTAGCTTGAAAAATAGTCATTCACAAAGGTAAAACTTCCTCATTTGAAGGTAACTAGTTTTTCTGAGTACATGAGAGACCTGACACCAGAGTGTACCAATAATCACAACAGAGATACGAGGCACCTCTACCCTGAGGCCACGACATGTTGGAGCATTAGGATGGCATTCAGTTTGGAAAGTTATAGGGTTAGGATCTAGTTTATAAGACTAATTTGTCTGCCTCAAGCAGAATCTTGTTCTAGTGATACGTATCTAAAAAGGCTTAGCACCACATTAAGTCATTTGCAAACACTAAAAATTGTTACAAGCATCTTGGAAGGAATAATGTTATGGTAATACAGAAAAAACAGCTGAAAGCACTCAAGGGTAAATGCACATGAACTCTGCATGGCAATTTGGCAATATTAGAAAGCTGAACCAGTAAATGAATGAGGCTTTCACGAATTAAGCTTAAGTGAAGGACATGTGCTTATCTGCAGATGCTATTGCAGTTTGTAGAAGTGTTCCAAGCACACCATACTAAACTCAGAGAGGAACTTGGAGAAAAGCCTTAGCCATTTCCATCTCTTCTTTGAGACATTTATGGTGAATGTTCTGACCTTGTACCACTCAAGTCAATGAGTTTTCCTTATTTTTAATTTAATCAACAGTTTAATAGCAAAAAACCACCAGTTGATAAGTCTTAATATACTAATCTGATTCCTACTGTAAAGACAGCTACTTCTCAGTTTCTTAAGAAAGGGAACCTGGCACTTTTTAGCTCTTATAAATAAGTACATATA